GAGCCACGTCGACCACGTGCTGTCGCGTTGGTCGACTTTGCCACAACAACCTTGACGACGATCACACACCTTCGCGGAACCTCGTTGACCAGGTAACTCGGTCGACTGGGTAGACCCGCAAACTGGTATACGTACTTGTCGACCGCCCAAGTCGACACCACTCGAAGACCTTTACCAGATCGACGTCCCGCACAGACATCTCGCGCGGTCCGCGGGCAGCCGGCTACACCTCTCGCGCACCCGACTGCAAGGTCAGCTTCACCCAAGCGAGGGCAGGGCCATTTACCGTTAACAAATCAGGGGGTTGGTTATTCTGCATGCTGCTGATATTTACCGTTGGCCACATCCTCGAGTTTAAGTCACTGCCGGGACGAAGGTTTCTTATCCATTTCCCAATCCTCGTCTGTGAATACTGCAGAGGTCAGCTCATGTCCTGCTACTATGACGACTATGTGACTCCCCGTCAGGACAACATAGGAAGATGGTGCGAAGAGTCACTTTACACCGGAAGCTGGACTACGGAGAAAGGCACGGGTGGTATGAGTGATCGTAACGTTCATCGTGTTCTCTAGCACTTGTATGTTCACAAAAAACAATTTGCATGAGTTTCACTAAGAAAAGTGGAGAACAATAGTACCCAATGGTTAGGCAAAGATGACTACATCAGATGCAAGGCAACCTAGCAAGCAGGCAGGTCGACCTCCACCGCAACACAATGGCGGCTTGCCAGCGCAGCAAGTCGACGGCGTGCCAACGTAGCCGGGGGTCGGCTTACCAACACTGCAAGTCGGTGACCTGCCAGCGCTGCACAAAGGCGGCTTGCCAACACTGCATCAAGGCGGCGTGCCGGCGTTGCAACCGCAGGTGTCCTTGCGCGCACCTACCAAGTAGGCGCAGGTAGACGGTGGCCCATCATGCATATTGCGCATGTGCCCAGGTCGACCACACGTCGAGAATTACAACAACGGAGGTCGTTGTTGGTGCCGGTGTAGAGGAGATTCGAGTACGGGGTCATGCAGATCAATTTTTTCTTATGAAAAAAAAGTATGAGAAGATATATATTTGTTGACAGCACAGGAAGGAAGGTATAACGTGCCTTGGAAATATTTTGACCATTGAAATATACAGCAGCGAAACAAAGAAGATATGGAATATACAAGGCAGATTCTGATTGTTTATTCTTACCGCGGATTCTCCTTAGCCGATTTTCTGTTGGGGTTCTTCCCGCACCCCTCAGTCGTCGACGCATTGCAGCTGTTCCTTCCCTAGTCTCCCTCAGATCACTCCCATCCAATGCCGTTTCTTCAGACCGGTCTATTCTTGCTCTCCCGTGAAATCTGTTGAATGCCAGGATATATTTCTGAACACCGCGTTATCAGGAGCACGGATTCGATATCTTCCCCGCGGAGCGCTTCCACGTCATACGATTATCGCGTGATCCGAGGGTACAGTAGGCCTAGTGCTGCTGCTACTTGTACCCGCTACACAACGGAACCCGTCAAGACGTTTCGACTTTCGACGGAATCCGTCAATTTCGTCTCAACGTTTCGACGGAGCGGGCGGCGATGAGGAAGGACCCTCAATCCAAGGGCCTAACGGACCGTAAGATCGGCATCGCGATCACGCTAGGCGCCGCGCTGGGTGCTCTGCTTGCGGTTTGGCAGTTCAGCCAAGGGGTAAGTGTGGATTTAGCAAAGCGGGAAAGCAGCGGGGATCCTTTCGGCAGTCCAAACGACCAGAAACTTACACTTCTGAAACCGAATCAAAAGCTGCTTGGCGCCGCGCTGGGTGCTCTCTCTGCTTGCCACGTGGCGGTTCAGCCAAGGGTAAGGGGGGATCCAGTGGGGTTCCATTCGACAGTACACCGACGAAAAAATAGGCTTAAAAAACCTTATTGACTGTCGCGCGGCGCGGGGTTGCCCTGCTAGCCGCGCCGGAGTACAGGCAAGGGCGAGTTGCAATTTAACCGAGCTCTGATTCAGTTTTTTAGCGGGGTGTGCGTAGTATACTAACTATAATGCGCCGGCATATTGGAGTTTCAAGGTGAGCTGCTATTTAACCGAGTTCTGAATAAGTTTTTTTTGCTGTGTTTGGCTATCCAGCTGAAGCGCTGAGCTGTGCTGTGTTGAGGTGTCGCAGTCGCAGGGAAACTGGTTAGGAACTTGCACATCGACTCGTCAAGTGACCTACATGGACTGGAATTCGCTTCTGAGAATTCTCAAAATAACATATTGTCGTTTCTCCCTCCCGTGCTTCCGTTGTCCACCTCTATTTTCTCCTCTTCTCCCCTCCTCGCCCCTCCTCGCCCCTCATCGTCCCTCCTCGCCCCTCCCCGTCCCTCCTCGCCGCTCCTCGCCGCTCCTCTCCCTTTCTCCCTTCCGCAGGCGGTATCACCAGAGGAGCGTGAGCTGCGGGGACTGAGGGAGGAAATTCTCTCGCCAGAGAGGACTTTGGAGACGTCTCAAAACTCACCTCCTCGCCCCTCCTCGCCCATCCTCCCCCCCAACAGGCGGTATCACCAAAGGAGCGTGAGCTGCGGGGGCTACGGGAGGAAATCCTCTCTCTCCAGCGCCGCATGCACCAGCTCAAGACAGAAAAAGCCGACCTCGACAAGAAGCTCCTCGCTGCTTCCGGCGGCGGTGACGATGCAACAGGCACAGGAGGAGCAACAGCAGCTGATGCCGTCCCAACAGCCGAATCCTTCTGGTCTGGCGTGAGAATCAAAGCCGGGCCGAGAGGGACCGTCCACAGCCAGTCTAAGAACCCAGAGATCATCCCCGACCCGTCAGGCAACCCACAGCTGGCTGCTATTCTCGAAAAGGTCGCGATCAACAAGGAGGTGATAGTCGGCATTTCGAACATCAACATCCGTGCGATGCTCGAGACGTGGTTCACTCAGATTCAGCGCGCCGGGATCAAGAACTACCTGGTGGTTGCACTGGATGATATGACCAGGCAGCTGTGCGAGTCCCGCGGCGTGCCCGTGTATCAGCAAGAGGCGAAGATTGCCGACACGCAGAAAGACGGCGGGGACAACCACGCGATTTCCAGCTCGAAATTCCACCTTCTGCGCGATTTCCTCGTGCTCGGTTACTCTGTCCTGCTCTCAGACATTGACATTGGCTTCCTGCAGAACCCGTTCGAAGGGAACCACTTGTACCGTGATTCCGACGTGGAAGGAATGACGGATGGATTCTCGAATGCCACGGCGTATGGGTATGACGATGTGCTGGATGATCCCGCGTTGGGATGGGGCCGATGCTCGCATTCCATGCGCATCTTTGTGTTCAACTCGGGGCTGTTTTACATCCGTCCAACGGCGGCTTCCATTGAGCTGCTAGACCGCGTTGCGATGCGCCTCGCGACGGAAAAAGCGTGGGACCAGGCCGTGTATAACGAGGAGATGTGGTTCCCGTCGCGGCCGGGGGTTTCCGGGCTGCATATTTCGCGGCGAACGATGGATTACTTCAAGTTTATGAACAGCAAGGTGCTGTTCAAGCAGGTGCGGAAGGAGCCGGGGCGGTTTGCGGGGTTCACGCCGGTGAGCGTGCATGTGAATTACCACCCGGAGAAGGAGGCGAGGCTGGTGGCGCTCATTGATTATTATGCGAATGGGAACAAGGCCGCTTTGGATCCGTTTCCGGATGGGTCTATTTCATAGAATGGTATGGCCTTGTAGACTCGTATACCTCTTGGGGCGTGCTTGATTGTGGTGTGTGTAGAGCCGACCCGAGCCCATGGACAGGGGAGTGATGGGTGGTTGGTTGGATTGGAATTTGGAAGACATTGTGGATGGAATATGATTGGTGCTGAAGATTCCGGTGTGCTTTGCAGGAGTAGCAGAAGGGTAGCTGGTGGGTTGGAGTGGAAGAGAGAATTTAGGGAAGGATAATGGTGTTGGTGGGTGAATCAGTGAAACTAGCCTTTTGAGGGTGTGGTAAGAGAGGGATTTTTGGCAGCACCTGTCAAATGATAAGAGGAAGTATGGTGACACAATTGTATCGTAATGTATCAATCAAAAGTTTCCTCCTTTATCCATAGTTGTTGCGAGGAGTGGCTGGGAGTGACTGGGAGTGAAGAGGGATGAGCTATTGATCTCCTGCCTCCTTCAGCCATGTGCTTTTGTAGGGTAAAATTCTCCCGAATTCTATTGCAGCAATTATGTGTCTATAAAAGGGTTTACTCAAATGCTTCTGACTATTCGTTTATCGAGACGTGCAACTCGTTACACCTTTCGCGTTTTATTCGACATTTTGAACCTTCGAATTTCTGGCTGGTGCATTCAAAATTCCTGGAATCTGGTTGGGCGGTTGGATGCCCGCAAATGTCATTCTCGAGATGCGGGAGTATTTTGAATATCATTCCAGACTGTTCGAAACAGAACCAACAATAGAAATGTTTCGAACCACCAAAACACTCGCCAGCGGTTTGGTTTGGTGGGCGGTAGCTACGCGGGTGACACGAGCTTCGAGTCAGATTCCTAGAACACAGCTTCGTTAGCGAAACAGAAGTCCTTGTCAGGTCACCGCCAACAAAGCTGCTGTGTTGTCCCATCCATTCGTCACGGCCGAGCCTTTCCAATCCAATACCTCTTTCTGTTTCCCTCGACTGCGCTGCGTTGCTCCATCCAGAACCGCGTTAGTTGCACAATTGAGCTACAACGACCCTTTTCGAACGAGCGTGGTGGGACTGTGTGACTCTTCTCGCGCGCACCTGCCTCTCTCGCGTGCTCTCTTCCTCAATTCATCGATCTGCCTTCGCTCTCGAGACGTTCCCTGGTGACTTTTCCTGTGGTCGGCGGGACGGAGGCGTCGCTATGTGACTGCGTTCAGTACGAAAGAAGTTCTCGCGTATTTCACGGTTCTTAATTCCTCTTGTTCAGTGGGGTAAAGTCGTGGAACAACGCTACTGCTGATCGCGGTGGAAACACGGGCTGTAACACCGTTACTGAGCGCGGTGGTAACACCGCTAATCTGAATAATTGGACAGCGCGGGAAGTCATGGTGGCTGCCGCGAGTCGATCAGACATGGCCGACGCGTCTTTTTCCTCACACGATCTGCTTCCAGCGAATGCCACCATAGCAGGGACAGCAACAACGGCTTCCCCGTCATCACTCGCGCTGGCGCTGGTGCCGTCTGACGTGGACACGGTCCTTGCTGACGCGATGCTGGATACGCATGTGCAGGACGAGCCGCGGAGCAACGACAAGGGTGATGATGAAAATCCGGAAGTTACGGGGAAGGCCGTGGTGCCACTGGCGAGGGTAGCGAGGCCGTTACGAGGCTCTCACGTGCGCAAGAAAGCTGTTGTATTCAAACGAGGTGAATTAAACCTTCCTTACACCTCCTTCTTTTATCACCAAGTTGCTTTGGAAATTATACTCCTGTAACGAGCTGTCACACTTGAAAATCTTCTCGGTTCTCTCCCCGCCAGCCTGCTCTCTCCTCTCTTCAATTGCTCCCCACCTCCCGCTTCCCGACTCGTTTCCCCTGCCCCCTGATTTTCTGCAATTCGTTTTTCCTGTCATTGTTTCGCGAATCTCTGCTCCAAATATGTCACCCTCACTAAGTCTTCCTTACCACGCTTTCCTTCTCATAGGTTACCGGCTCCCCAATCCGCTTCCAAAAGACTTTTCCCTGCCCGACCTGCCCGCAAACATGGCTGCTGAGCTCGCGTGCGCCGCCATTCAGCTCCACGACGAGAGCGCCGGGCAGCTGCTGCAGAAGTTGCAGCCCAAACTAATGGGCCCTGCTAACGTGGCGGGATTGCTATGTGACGCTGCGGGTGCGGGTGGAGGTGGTGGGGAAAGGGCGAGGGGTGATGAAGAGGAGGAAGAAGAGGAGGAGAAGGAGGAGAGGGAGGAGGAGGAGGAGGAGGATTTGGGTGGTGGGATGCGGGCAAGGGAGGAGAATAATGATGGGACGTACAGAGGCGAAGGAGAAGCGGCGTTGGCTGTGATGAAGACGCTTCGTACATACGAGGCTCTTAGGAGGCACTACGTACGCGTTAATGAGTTGCACCTGGCTGCCAAGGCTAAGCTTGCTGCTCTCAACCGGCGGCGAGCAGGAAGCGGGAAAGGAGGGAAAGGGCGAGGAGGGAAAGGGAGAGGGCGAGGGGTTGAGGTAGGGAGAGGGAAGAAAGTGGGAGGGAAGTGGAGGGTTGCAGCAAGAGCAGGCGTTGGCAGCGGGAAGAGGGGCGAGAAGCAAGGGAACGACGAAGAGGAGGAACCGGAAGAAGAGAATGTTGAGAGGGTTGCAGAGCTGTTGGAAGAGGTGATGGAGAAGAATCTCTACAACAAGCGGCCGGATCTATCCGCAGGAAAAACCATGCGGATCCAAGGACTGGTTATCAACAACGAAAAGGCACGCGTCATAGGCCATGTTCCGGGCGTTCCGGTAGGGTTTCAGTTCTTTAGTAGGCAGGAGATGGCGGTAGTGGGAGTTAATCTCCAGGCGCAGGGGGGTATAGACTATTCTCCCTCCGGAGCGAACCAGTGGGGAGTGGAGGTCGCGTCTTGTGTGGTGCTATCCGGTGGGTATGAGGATGATGAGGATAACGGGCAGTGGTTTGATTACACTGGGCAGGGCGGAAATAATTACCGCGGGGATCGGACGCAGCTGAAGGACCAGCAGCTGGAGCGGGGGAATCTCGCGCTGGCCAACAGCGAAAAGTTGAAGCTGCCCGTGCGGGTAGTTCGCGGGGTGAAAGAACCGGCGAGCTACACCAAAATGGTCTACACTTACGACGGCTTATACCGAGTCGTGCGCAGCGAGCATATCCCAGGGGATTCCGGCCACATGATCTTCAAATTCCGGATGGAGAGAGAGGAAGGACAGCCGGCGCTGCAAACCCCGACAGTGGAGTTCGTCAGAGCGTCGCTGAAAACTGGGACCAAGTCGAAAGACAGGAGGGGGGTGGTGGCAGAGGATATATCCCAGGGGAAGGAGAGCCGGCCGGTGTGTGCGGTGAATACGGTGGATAAGGAGCCTGTGCCTCCTCCTGCGTTTCAGTACATCAGAAGCATGAACCATGCGGAGGCTCTGAGGAAACTGGCGAGGAGAGAGGCAGCCCAGGCTGCTGCTGCTGGTGCTGGTGCTGGTGCTGGTGCTGGTGGTGGTGCTGCTGCTGCAGCAGCAATTGATCTACAGCCAGCGGTGCTGGGCTGTTCTTGCACGGATGGGTGTGTGGACGCTACTGCATGTGAGTGCGCTCAGCTGAACGGAGGCATGCTGCCTTTCACACGCGAAGGCGGCCTGATAGAAGCCCAGCAGATTGTCTACGAGTGTGGGCCCCAGTGCGCGTGCTCCTGCAAGGCCGGTTTCGGGAACGCTAGCAGCAGCGGCGGCGGCGGCGGCAGTGCGTGTATCAACAGGGTGAGCCAGAAAGGAGTGCAGGTGCGTTTGGAGGTGTTCAAAACGGAGAACAAGGGGTGGGGGTTGCGGTCGTGGGACGCGATCCCTGCAGGGCACTTTGTGTGTGAGTATACGGGGGATCTTATGAGGGATGATGATGCAGAGACGCTGAGAGGGAACGATGAGTACTTGTTCGATTTGGATCTCGCTCGGGGTATTCAGGAGCGGTGGGGGGATGTGTCGGGTATCCTTGGTGGTAGCCGTGACGGTGGTGGGGTTGGTGGGGGTGGTGGGGCGAGTGCTGCTGCTGCTGGTGGTGGTGGTGGTGTTGCTGGCGGTTTGGATGAGGAAGAGGAGGAGGAAGGGGAGGAGGGGTTGGAGGGTGGAGTGCGGAGGGAGAGCACGAGGGAGAGGAAGGCGCGAATTGGAGAGGACAGGAGGGAGGAGAGAGAGGAAGGCAGGGAGGCGAACAGGGACAGGAGAGGGCGTTCAGGAGGTGGTCGTGGTGGTGATGATGATGGTGGTGGTGGTGGTGGTGGATATGGTGGGGGTGGTGAAGGGGACTATGGAAAGCGAGCTCGTGGGCATGATTCAAGCAGGCACCACAGGGGCTCTGGCGCGTCACACGAGACTCATGAGTCAACAAGGCACCACAGGGGTTCCGACGAGCCTCACGGGTCAACGAGGCACCACAGAGGTTCAGAGTTGCCGCACGAGTCAACCAGGCAGCACGGGAGGCACGGGGGCAGTGAGAGCGGTGAACGGTCACGTGACACAAGAGCACCAGCAGCAGCAGCAGCAGCAGCAGCAGCAGCATCGCCACCACCAGCAACACCAGCAGCTGCAGCAGCAGCGCCAGTGCCAGCAGCAGAAGCACCACACGAGGACCTCCATTTCTGTCTGGACGCCAAGCGCATGGGCAACGTGGCACGCTTTATCAACCACAGCTGCAACCCGAACCTGTTCGTGCAGTGCGTGTTCTTCGACCACCACGACCACCGCCTGCCACACATCATGCTCTTTGCGTATGATAACATCCCGCCGTTGAAGGAGCTTACCTACGACTATGGGTACCAGGTGGATAGTGTGATGGACGGGAACGGGAACGTGAAGAAGCTTATGTGTTACTGTGGGGCGGCCACTTGCAGGAAAAGGCTGTATTAAGGGGTGCTGGTTGGACCGTGGGTGAGCGGATGGATTGGGCACCGATCTATACAGCCACCTGAGCCTGTTCGTGCAGTGCGTGCTCTGAAATGTTTTCTTTGATCACCACGGCCACCGCCTGCCATACATCATGCTCTTTGCGTATGACAACATCCCACCTCTTAAAGATCTCACGTATGACTATGGCTACCAGGTGGATAGTGTGACGGACGGCAATGGGAACGTGAAGAAGCTTTTGTGTTACTGCAGGGCGGCCACTTGCAGGAAAAGGCTGTATTAAGGGGTGCTGGTTGGACCGTGGGTGAGCGGATGATGGATTGGGCCTTACACAACCGCCCATTGAACCTGTTTGTGCAGTGTGTCTTCTTCGACCACCACGACCACCACCTCCCACACATCATGCTCTTTGGTTACCAGGTGGATAGTGTCACGGATGGGAACGGGAAAGTGAAGAAGCTCCTGTGTTACTGCGGGGCGGCCACTTGCCGGAAGAGGCTGTATTAAGGAGCGGTGCTGGGTGTGATGAGCTAATGGAGAGAGTTTTTCCCACCACAATAAGCTTCCCTTGTCTCATGTTTTCCTCTTTTTCTTTCCTTCCTTTCCTGCTGTTATCAGGATTGTCTTTCTGTCCCCTTTTGCTTCTAACAGGATTTTCTTTGCGTCATTCTGATTCATTTGGCTTGACCAAAATCCAGCTGGCAATGAACAAATTAAGCCCTTGATAGGTAATTACTCAAAACTATACAAAATTATGTACCTCCATAAGAGGTATGTATATCAGAACTACAGTCACACACTAGACAAAGCACACAACTAACATATGAGCAGAAAAGCAACAAGCAAAAGACACACCCAGCATACTGTAATGGCTCTCTTGTTGCCTAGTAGCCAGCAGCTACCGACAGAAAAACCACCAGCTTGTATACGCCACTACTCTATGGCGAGTATATAACCTTGGCAAGTATAAGTAGTATGTATAGATTCACCACAGCCTTGCCTGCAGGCACTAATGCTCTGCTGCAGCGTTCTCGCGTTTAACCCAGAGGCGTCAGCAGGTGCTGCTGCTGCTGCTGCTGCTGCTGGGGAGGAGTGTGGGCCTGCTTGGGGCTATGAACGAGCCCCTTGGGGAGGTGTAGCAATGGAGACGCAGAGACACACCTAGCTGCTGCAACCACTGGCTGCTGCATTTGAGGCACCACCACGTTTTGCTGCTGCTGCTGCGGCTGCAGTGGCACACGCCGCTGCTGCTGCTGCTGCTGCTGCTGCTGCGCCGGCGGCTGCAGCTGCTGATGCTGCTGCTGCGGTGCCATATGCTGTTGCTGTCGTGACTGCTGCTGCTGTATCAGCTGCTGCGTCGGCTTCTCCTGCAGTAGCTGCTTGCAGCTGGGGAGCACGAGCAGAGGAACCGCACTGCACCTTCCTGGACTCCTCGTGGCCATGCTCCCACCGTTGCAGGCCAACACGGGAAAGGCAGCAGCAACCGGCGTTGAAGGCAACGGGCAAACGACCTTAGGAACAGGAGCAGCAGAAGGAGCAGGAGCAAGAGCAGGAGCAGGAGCAGGAGCAGGAGCAGGAGCAGGAGCGGGAGCAGCAGAGGTGGCAGCATTGGCGGCGGAAGCAGCAGCAGCAGCAGAGGCGGCAGCATTTGCATTCGAAGAAGCAGGCGGCTCCTGTCGAAGAGGAGAGTGAGCAGCCACCTTGGGGAGGCACAGCATGGGCAGGCGAAGGGCAGGCACAGCAGGCATAGCAGGTACAGCAGGCATAGCAGGTACAGCAGGCATAGCAGGCACAGCAGGCATAGCTGGGCCAGCAGGGCAAAGCAGGGGTGGTTTCGCAACAGGAGGTGTAGCAACAGGAGCAGGGGATGCAAGGGCAGGGGCTGTAGCTGTGGGCACAACTGCCGCAGACGGACGGGCGCTCACACGCAGAGCCACCGGCCGTGAGATCACAGGCGTGGAGGAAACAGGAGGAGCCGCAGCGGTAGGAACAGCAGCAGCAGGAGCAGGAGGAGGAGGAGCAGGAGGGGCAGTATGAGCAGTAGCAGGAGCAGCGGGAAGAGCAGGAGCAGGAGGAGCAGTAGCTGCAGCCGCCACTGCGGCAGCAGGAAGAGGAGAGAGAGGAGCAGGAGAGCAAGAAAGGGTCAGAGCAAATGCAGTTGAATCCTCGACACGTCCAGCCCCAGCACCATCACCAGCAGCAGCAGCAGCAGCAGCAGGAGAGGACGCCGCAGCAGAAGGGGATGAGCCGCCACTGGAGCAGGCTCGGGAACAGGTCCCAGAGACCACGGAGTTCCCAGAGGTCCCGGAGTTCCCGGAGGGCTGGCCCGCATTGCCTAGCTCAAGCCACATGCCACTCTTCTCCCTCACACTCTCCGCCCGCTTCTCCTCCTCCGCCGCCCCCCCCAGCCGCGCCACCTCCGCCTCTCCCGCCGCGAGTGCTCCTCGCGCTTCCGCCAGCAGCGGCAGCAGCTCCGGGACTCCCCCCTTGCCCGCTGCGCGCTGCACGTTCACCCCTTCGAGCCGCTTCGCCTGCACCGCGGAGCCTGCCTGGCCACCAGCCACTCCCGCCGCGTCGCGCGTCTCGATCGCGGTGGCTTCAGCCGCCGCGTCCGCCGCCGCGTCTGTCGCTACCGTAGACTCCGCCGCGCTTGGCGGAGCCAATAGGAGCGAAGCAGCAGCCATTTCGCAGTCCTTCTGCCGCCATCCGGCGACAGACGCGGCTCCAGGGCATTCGTCCGGCTCCACGTCATGCTCCGTTTTAAGCCGCTTCGCAACAGCCATAATAAGCGCCACCTCGTCTCGACTGACCGCCTCGCCCTTGCGCTTCTTCCCCGCGCCAACCCCCGCAATTGTCAAATCCGCGCCCCAATCCAGCGCGCGGCTCTCCCGCGCGCTCAGAACCTCGTCGTCGGGGGATTTCCCGCTGTTGCTAGCGCCGCCGTCGCCGCCGCCGCCGCGGCATCCGCCGTCGGACATGCTTTCCGAGCCGCATCCGGCCCATCCTTCGTCCTTACTCGCGGCCGCGCTTTGCTCATCCGCCTGCTCGCTACCCTCGTGCTCGTTCTCGCTGCACCTGCTGCTGCTGCCGCTGCCGCACGCGCCCGTCCCCTTTTCCGCCACTCCCGCTCCCATCTCCGCCAGCCGGGGGAACGCGCACGCGCTGTTGCCCCCGCGCCCCTGCCACCGGCGAAAAGCGCTTCCGCCGCCGCCGCTACCGTCGCTGCCGCCGCCGGTCTTAATCACCGAAGCAAACCCGAAACCCGAACCAATGGGCCGATTCGAGGCCCAGGAAATCTGACTGCCTTCTTCTGATTCGTCCTCGCCTGTCGGAATCATCACCGGTACTCGCTCGTCTGCTCCTTGACGGCTACCCGCTTCGGATGCGGCGGCGACGGCAACTGCCGCCATCAGCGCGTCGGCTCGCGCGCCGGCGGCCGTCGACGCTGTCGGCCGTTCCAAACGGTGGCCGTGAGAGATGCTCGCCGACAGCGACGCGGCTGGCACGGATCGGACGGACGGCAGGTCCGTGGCGGCAGCGGCGGCGGCGGCGGCGGCGGCGGCGGAGGCAGCCTGTACGCATGCGGGGAGTTGCAACTTAAGCGGCAAGGCAGCGGGGACTGGAGGCTGGTTGCTCTGCGACAGATTCTGCGACATGTTATGCGACAGGTTCTGCGACAGCGCCTCTGCTGATTGGACGACGGTATGAGACGGATGGATTCTGCTCCAAAAGCACCCGTCAACTCCGGCGGAAGAGGCGGGGTCGAAGGGTGGCTGGAATCCAGGATACACAGGACGTAGCGGAATAACGTGCGTCGCAGAGGGAGTAGAAATCAGCTCCCACGGTAGGTTTCGCAAATCGACGCGTTTAGAATCTCCCCGCTCGACAACGACCGTGTGAAGCGCCTTTTTCGGGTCGAATTTGGTGACGGATCCCATGTGCCAGCGGCCGTCGCGCGGCCATAGGAGCCGGAGTTGCGATCCGATAGGGAGACGGACGGCGGGATCTTTCCTTGAAGGGTGACCCCGTTTCTTCGATTGCTGCTTCAAATCCATGGCGATGAGATGGAGGATTTAGTGGTAGAGTGCGAATCCCGATCGAAAGTAGGTTTAGCGGGGAATACTAGACGAGGCAGAAGCTTTTAGTGCGACTGGCGAGGTGTGTAACGCAAGGAGGAGGAGGTGGTCAGGGACCAAGAGCTTGAATTTGCTACTGCGGTGTTGAATGGATTCGGCTAACGACTTGTGCGAGCGACGTTGAGGGAGGACTTTCGAGGAGAACCAACTCAACTCATGGCTGTCCGGATGGAAAATCTGGTGAAAGCTTGCTTGCTTCAGGGGAATTCAGAGTTTTGCTTGTGATGTATCGCCGCGAGAAAATGGCGGGGGCCCGCCTCGCCAAAAGATGAGCGCAGGGTGATGGTGGTGATGTCACATGTGCGATGAGAGGGATGGATGGATGGATGGGAGTGGGGGGAGGGGGAAACGGGGGATGGCGGGAGAAGGGGGAACGGGGAAAGGATTGGGGAGGGGGAGCGGGGTGTCTCTTTGCCTGGTGCGCGTTTCGTTTGTTTGGAAGAAATAAAAGTTTTTTCCCATACGCCGCTCGCACCAAGCAACAGCCAAAGGTTTCGCTAGGCTCAACGAAACGACTTATTTTCTTTCTGGTCAGCGGGTTCGGATCAAGAGTGGAAGGCTCGCCCCTGGTCTCCCGCGTCAGAAGCACCCTTGCGCCTCATTTTAGCGCATCCCGCGGCGCCTTTTCCAACGCCCTTCTCAGCCAGCCCAGCGCCCCTCCGATTTTGCCGACACGGGCATCCGCGCAACGAGCAGGCGCGCTTCTCCACCTCGTCACCGTCCTGATTGTCATTTGGTGGAGCCTGCTTGGCGTTTGGGTTTGGGGCAGGAGGGGGCTGGCGAAAGTAGAATCGAGTGATGCTGATGTTAGCCAATCGCCAAACCAGAAGGGTATGAACGAATTTTGGTTCACACTGCCCCACGAGAACCGTCGCTTTGATGGAAGTTCCAGCTTGACAGCAAAAGACCGACCCGTTTCTGCCCGGTCAGCTTGGGTTCGTCCCCTCTCGTCAGGGGCGTTCCCCAGCTGCGCGCTCCGCGGACCCCGACTCCGATGGTTCGCGCGAATCGCGAGAGCTGTCACTGCCAACCAACCCAAACCCATGCCAAACGCGTTCCCAAATGGGCTGCACCCGTACCACCACCAGGACCCCGCCACCCTGCCCAGAAACGCGTTCCTCCCCACCCCACCCCTCTCTCTCCCCCGCTCTTCCCCCGCCTCCCCTCCCTCTCTCCCCCAGCCCCCTCTTCCCTACCTCCACCCCACCCCCGCCAAACCCCATCAATTCCTTCGGTTCGGAAAGCCATTGGTGGAATCCAGCCCAAAACGCATGCCCCTCGTTCGCAGCCCCACGATGCATGTGCTGCGCCCCTGAAGGGGTGTGCGCAGATTCCTGCCTGCCAAAGGGCGCAGAAAGCTTTGGTGCTGGCGTGGGATCTCCAAGCCGCTTCTGCGGAGCGTCGTTCGTGTCGAAATTTGCGGAAATTGGTCTGGTGCGAAACCAACCTGCCCGAACGGCTTCGAGTCGCCAAACCAGCTGACCACCAGCGCCTGGAACCGCCACTTTGCGAAATAAAAACCCTTGCCCGAAAGATACTTCTCCCCCAAGGTTGCAGAAGCTGCAGAGACTTATTGGATGGGCTGCGGGCCTCCCAATTGGGTTTTGCCACTGGAAAGCCTGTCCCACTTGAGTAGAGAAGCCTTTCGATTGGTCGTTACGAATCTCCTACTGGCCTTGGCGCCCACTGCGCCAAGCTCTGCAGCGCGATCCGTCAGTAAATCGAAGGCGCATCGGAACCACAAACAATTGTTGGAGGGGAAGGGAAACCGCCATTGAAAAAGACTTGGGCATCGGTGAGTCGAGAGACAACCACGGAATTCATCCTCTTTATTAGCCCGACCAGTTTAAATGTTAATCACACGTATGAAAGTAGGTCGTCTGTCTTTTCCCAGCCATCACTTACTCTTCACTTCTGATTTTGAAATACAGGGACCGTCTAGAGACGATGAATATTATAGAAGTAGAAGATGATGCAATTACGTATGGGTCCTCAAGCGCTGATGGATGAACAACATTATGAAATATATATATTAAAGTCACACAGTATGTTCTTTTTTCTGTTACATAGTGTTTCCACGATGTTGCTGTCAACGAAGATGATAAAATCAAAGGCGGCAGGAGGTAGGTGATGCTTGGGGAGGTAGGCATTGATGTTTACTGTTCACGGCCCTAGGTTCCGTCTGGTCGGCGGTATGACAACACTCCGCACACCCCTGAAATCCTCTGCAACGAAACTTACCGTACTCAACGTGCCGAATCGTCGAGAATCGTTTGTTGGCCTAACCGGTCACGCCCTGAGTGCAAGCGCGAAATGCAAACGTCAACGTCATCACCACCTAAATTCTGCTGGTCGAACATGAATGTGAAGCATAGGAATAGGAACGCTGCTCTTGTGCACTAGACTACACTGCGTACTCCAGGCCGTATTCTACTAGTCTAACGCGCTCGGCCGGATCTCCAGCATCCCGATTATCTTCCTTTGCCACCGCAACTGACGTTAAAGCGACCCGTTCTGGTTTTACCTCCGCCATGGGCTGTAAGCCACTATTAGTTCCGCGCGATCGCATCGCGCGGGAGCAAGAAGCGCTGTGGCCGCGGCGGGAGCATGGGCAGACGCGGCCTCCGCGTTTTCCGGGCCAAAACGATTTGCTTCGAGGCGCTCGAGACAGATGTCAATCGCACGTTGAACAAGGCGATGATCTTGGGCAAGATTCGCGTGCACTGATCTTGACCGTGTCGCGGGTAGAACGCAACGAATCGCGTTCTCCCGCGGAATCCGCCGCGCCGCGCCGGCGATCGCGCTCCAGAGACACGCACTCGTTACAAAGAGCTCGACAATATGGTGGCGAGCCGAGCCGCGTATCTCCGCATCTCCTCCCCCTCCTTCCCCTCCTCCGCTTCCTCCGCTTCCTCCGCTTCCGGTTCCTTCTCCCGCTTGTCCTCGCTGTCCTCCTTACCCCATCATTACCAGGGGCCCCGGCGCGGTTTGCGGCGGCGGAGACTACTGAAATCGCGGAATCGCCGGGAAGTACGGAGATCGAACCGTGGATGGACGGCCTAGATTACAGCGTCATGGATTTTGCCGATGAGGAGGAGGGGAGAAAAGAGAACCGGGAGGGGATTGTGGAGGGGGGTGCGGAGGGGGGATCGGCGGGAATGGGGGAGAGAGGCGGAAACAACGGATCCGCGGAAGCGCGGAAGCTGGCGCTAGAGACTGGCGGGGGGGGTGCAGACGTGGCGGGCGGAGAAACAGGGGGCGGAGAAGCAGGGGAAGCCGCAGGGGGAGGAACAGGGGGAGGAGCAGGGGGAGGAGCAGGGGGAGGAGCAGGGGGAGACGCAGGGGGAGGAGCAGGGGGGGGTTTCAAGTTTGATTACTACGACTGTGGGGACGACCGGGCTCGGAATTTCTCGCACCCTCATCTAGCTGGTGGGTGCATGATCCGTCCATGGATGGATGGATGGATAGACTGACGTATAGGTGGGTTGGATTTGTAGAGACGCTTTTGAGCATTCTCAAAAGCGATTCAGATTTAGTTGGTTGGGTTGGGTTGGGTTGGGTTGGGTTGGTAGAGATAGATTCAAGGTTTAGATGCCGGTGGGTTGTGCATGAACAAGCGAATATATGTATCGGCGGGTGGGTACGAAGCCATTCCTTGCCACACCTCTTCAATCGCCCTTCTTCCCGTCCTCCCCTCCTCTTCTACCCCCCCTCCCTCCCTTCGGCTCCTCGTTTTCCCCCTCCGCACCGCGCCCCTCCGCACCTCGCCGCTTCGCTGCCCCCCCTCCGCCGCACCTCCCACTCTCTGCACGACTTCCCCTGGGCGTGTGTGTGAGCAGGGGCGGTGGAGAGCGGGCGCAAGTTCGTGATGCTGGCAGCAGAGCGAGAGCAGCTCACCAAGGCGAGGTGAGGACATGGGCAGCAGCGGCAGCAGCAGCAGCAGCAGCAGCAGCAGCAGCAGCAGCAGCAGCAGCAGCAGCAGCAGCAGGAGGAGGAGTAGGAGGAGGCTAGTTTTGAGGCTATTGTTGAGGCCCCTCAAAGCTCAAAATATGACGACAGCAGCTCACCAAGAGCAGCAGCAGCAGCAGTTTTCTGTCGTCAAATCTGAATTCCCCCCAACCACTCACACAGCCCCCCTCTCCCCTTCAATCTTGGGGAGTCGCCATTTAAGTCGACTTAAAATTCCCTCCCCTCCCCCCTTATCCCCCCCTGGGAAGCAGGTTGCATCTGGGGGAGGCGATGACCATTGCAAACCTCACGAATCGCACCTTTGTGCTCACACACGTGGGCAGCAGGTGGGTGGCTGTAGCAGGTGGGTGGCTGTAGCAGGTGGGTGGCTGGAGCAGGTGGGTGGCTGTAGCAGGCTGTAGGCTGTGAAAGGACCGTAAAATAAGCAAAAAGGACCACTGAAGGAGCAACACTTGAGCCCCCGCCATTTTTCTCACGCTGTCCCCTATCCTCCCTCCCACCCCTTCTTTTGAGTCGACTCAAAATCTGCTGCCCACCCCATGCTGTCAGTCTCATGCTGTCCCCTATCCTCCCTCCCACCCCTTCTTTTGAGTTGACTCAAAATCTGCTGCCCACCCCATGCTGTCAGTCTCATGCTGTCCCCTATCCTCCCTCCCATGCCATCCCGATCCCCCCCTTTCACTCCCAGCCGCGTCGGCATGGACCGCGGTTTACCGCTCTGCACCTACTTCTCTATTGATAAGATCGTGGCAAACTTCAAGGGGGGCACACCACTTGGATCACATTGCACTGCTTGCGCGCACCTTCCGATTCCCCCTCCCCCCTTTCCCCCTCCCCGCTTTCCCCCTCCCCCCTTTCCCCCTCCCCGCTTTCCCCCTCCCCCCTTTCCCCCTCCCCCCTTTCCCCCTCCCCACTTTCCCCCTCCCCCCTTTCCCCCTCTCCCCCCCAGCCGCATCGGCATAGACCGCGACCTACCGCTCTGCACCTACTTCAACATTGACAAGATCACAGCGCACATGGAGTGGATCACAGAGGACTATCTCGCTGCTGAGATGCACGTGCGTGGGTGGGACTGGGGTGGGACTGGGGTGGGACTGGGTGGGACTGGGTGGGCGTGCGAGGTTGTGTTGTGTGGTGGCGCCTTTGTGGGGGTGTACGTGCACCTGCTTCAGCATAGGGTTGACAAAATCACGGCGCACATGGAGTGGATCACAGAGGACTACCTCGCGGCTGAGATGCACGTGCGTGGGTGGGGCCTTTGAGGGGCGTATGCATGTGCGTATGTGGGGGGGCGTGTACTTCAGCATAGGATTGACAAGATCACGGCGCACATGGGGTGGATCACAGAGGACTATCTCGCGGCTGAGATGCATGTGTGTGGGTGGGCGGGCATGGGCGGGCGGGCGGGTGAATTATGTATGCAACAAATGTGCATCGGCGTGGTTGGGTGTGCGTGGGGATGGGGGTGGGGGTGGGGTAGTGGGCAATGGGCATGGAGTGGATCACAGAGGACTATCTCGTGGGGCGTGGGGCTGAGATACGTGTGCGTGCACTATGTGCGTGCTAGAGTGGAGTGGCCATGGGGATGGGTACGTGGGATACGTGGGCCGCGAGAGAGAGAGAATGGGGTGTGTAACGTGTAATACCTCTCTCTACCTTGTGGGGAGCAGAGCGGAGCGGAGCGGGCGGTGGTGCCCTGTGAGTCATGAAGCCTACTGGCGACTTTTGAGGCGCCTCAAAAGAAGCATACCGGCAAGCTTTTCTGCATTGTGTATACGACTTTCGAGAAGTCCCGTTAGTCATCATGTAGCTTTCCCTTCCCCTCCCTCTGCCTCCCCCTATCCCCCACCTCTCCCCCTTTCCCTCGCCCCTCCCACCCACCACCCCATGCAGCGGTTGCAGCGACAGCTACAGATGAAGGCGCTGGTGCTGCTGCACAAAGCACTGCACAGATGCCAACTTGCGAGGTGTATTTTGAGGCGCCTCAATCGCTGGAATGTCTGATCACACCCTCAAAATACACCTCACTGCTGATGCTGCACAAAGCACTGCACCGATGCAGACTCGCTTGCTCCTTCCCAACCCCTCCCTAGCCGCCTTCCCAACCCCTTCTGTCCACCTGTGCAGCGGTTGCAGCGACAGCTACAGATGAAGAGGCACTGCTCCGATGCAACCGGACTGGCACATGTGGGTTTCGAGACATCTCATAACTGAACGTTTCTGCTCGCTCCCGCTCCTCTTCCCCAACCCCTTGTGTCCACCCGTGCAGCGCTTGCAGCGGCCGCTACAGATGAAGACGCTGGTGCTGCATAAGGCACGGCACCGGTGCAACCGGCAGATCTGGCGGCAGGTGGAGGGGCGGGTGAGTGGAGGCAGCTGACTGGGTGAGTGGAGGGAGGTGACTGGGTGAGTGGAGGGAGGTGACTGGGTGAGTGGAGGGAGGTGACCGGGACAGCCCCTCCTAGGACATCCCCTCCTAGGACAGCCCCTCCTAGGACAGCCCCTCCTAGCACATCCCCTCCTAGCACATCCCCTCCTAGATAAAAGTAACATTTTGAGACGACTCAAAAGGACATCCCCTCCTAGCACATCCCCTCCTAGCACATCCCCTCCTAGATAAAAGTAACATTTTGAGACGACTCAAAAGGACATCCCCTCCTAGCACATCCCCTCCTAGCACATCCCCTCCTAGATAAAAGTAACATTTTGAGACGACTCAAAAGGACATCCCCTCCTAGCACATCCCCTCCTAGCACATCCCCTCCTAGATAAAAGTAACATTTTGAGACGACTCAAAAGGACATCCCCTCCTAGCACATCCCCTCCTAGATAAAAGTAACATTTTGAGACGACTCAAAAGGACATCCCCTCCTAGCACATCCCCTCCTAGATAAAAGTAACATTTTGAGACGACTCAAAAGGACATCCCCTCCTAGCACATCCCCTCCTAGCACATCCCCTCCTAGATAAAAGTAACATTTTGAGACGACTCAAAAGGACATCCCCTCCTAGCACATCCCCTCCTAGATAAAAGTAACATTTTGAGACGACTCAAAAGGACATCCCCTCCTAGCACATCCCCTCCTAGCACATCCCCTCCTAGATAAAAGTAACATTTTGAGACGACTCAAAAGGACATCCCCTCCTAGCACATCCCCTCCTAGCACATCCCCTCCTAGATAAGAGTAACATTTTGAGACGACTCAAAAGGACATCCCCTCCTAGCACATCCCCTCCTAGATAAAAGTAACATTTTGAGACGACTCAAAAGGACATCCCCTCCTAGCACATCCCCTCCTAGCACATCCCCTCCTAGATAAAAGTAACATTTTGAGACGACTCAAAAGGACATCCCCTCCTAGCACATCCCCTCCTAGCACATCCCCTCCTAGCACATCCCCTCCTAGATAAAAGTAACATTTTGAGACGACTCAAAAGGACATCCCCTCCTAGCACATCCCCTTCGGGACGCTACACCCGCACCGTCCTTCTCATCGCTCCCCAAAGAATCAACCCCACCCGCCCATCCCCGTGCACCGCACTCGACCCCTTGTTCTTCCACCAACTCAACCCAACCCAACCCCCCCATCACCCCCCATCAATCCTTCAATTACTCCCACCAGCCAGCATTCAAGGAGCATCCATGGGCGCGGGACATTCTGTCCTTCCCCCTCCGCATCCGCTGTGTGAAGGAGGAGCACCGCCGCCACACCCAAGACGCCTCCGACGCGCTCCTGGCGGCTCTCCGGGAGGATGACGTGGCGGCTGCTGACGTCATCCTGGTGTATAAGCTCGCTGACGAGGCGTACTTTCTGCCAGACGTCGTTGGGGTGGGTGGTGGTGGGGGTAGGTGGAGGGGGTGGTGGGGGGCGGGTGGGGGAAGTCGAGTGGGAGATTAGTGGGTGAATGGGTGTGGGTGGGCTGGGATGGGTCGGTGGTGTGTGCAAGGGGGTGGGTTGGTGGTGTGTGCAAGGGGGTGGGTTGGTGGTGTGTGCAAGGGGGTGGGTTGGTGGTGTGTGCAAGGGGGTGGGTTGGTGGTGTGTGCAAGGGGGTGGGTTGGTGGTGTGTGCAAGGGGGTGGGTTGGTGGTGTGTGCAAGGGGGTGGGTTGGTGGTGTGTGCAAGGGGGTGGGTTGGTGGTGTGTGCAAGGGGGTGGGTTGGTGGTGTGTGCAAGGGGGTGGGTTGGGTGTGTGCAAGGGGTGGTTGGTGGTGTGTGCAAGGGGGTGGGTTGGTGGTGTGTGCAAGGGGGTGGGTTGGTGGTGTGTGCAAGGGGGTGGGTTGGTGGTGTGTGCAAGGGGGTGGGTTGGTGGTGTGTGCAAGGGGGTGGGTTGGTGGTGTGTGCAAGGGGGTGGGTTGGTGGTGTGTACAATCTTGGGGGCGTACTTTCTGCCAGACGTTGTGGGGGTGGGTGGGTGTGGATTGGGAAAGGGGATGTGTGTGGTGAGTGGTGGGTGGGGGTGGTTGGGGGATGGTGGGGGGTGGGTGGCGGCGGCTAGCAGGGGGTTTGTAGGGTTGGGTTTGGGATGTGGATGAGTAGTGGTGGGGGTTGTTGACGATTCCCTTTCCTCAACATTCACTTTCCTTGCTCACTGCTCTTCCTCTTCCCCTTCGTCTCCCCTTCCGCCATAGAGTTTTTCTCGCCACACCTTAAAGCCATAGCAGGCAGCATGACTCGCCTCGTGTTTGCCAACTCCACGCCCACTGCTGCCACTGGGCCTGCCTCCCTGCTCACACTACATGCCTACTAGTGCTAGTGGCGACTTCAGTTGACCAATCCGCTCGCCCCGTCTCCTCTTCCCTCCCCGGTTCCCCCTGCGTCCCACCATCCCCCCTCTCCCGCTTCCCCACCTCTTTCCCCTTCCTCCCTCCCCTTTCCTCCCTCTCCCCCCCCTTCCCCTCCCCTCTCCAGCCCGCCATCAGAGCCATAGAGTTCGCCCCGCATCTCAAGGCCATAGCAGCCAGCATGACGCACCTCGTGTTTGCCAACTCCACGCCCACTGCTGCCACTGCGCCTGCCACCATCCCCAACAGCCTCCGGGAGCAGCTCAGGCGCCACCCAGGGCAGGTAAGATGGGGGGACGGCTTGGTTTGATCAGGCACCCCGGGAGCAGGAGGCAGGGCAGTAGGTGGTAAGGAACCTTTTCTGCCAACCCCACGCCCACGGTTGACTCTGCGCCTGCCACCATCCCCCACAGCCTTAGGGAGCAGCTCAGGAGGCACCCTGGGCAGGTAAGGTGGGGGGTGCTGCCTGCAGTAGCAGGGGATGCAGTAGCAGGCAGGGCAGTAGGTGGTAATGACGCACCTCGTGTTTGCCAACTCCACGCCCACTGCTGCCACAGCGCCTGCCTGCCACCATCCCCCACAGCCTTAGAGAATAGCTCAGGCGCCACCCAGGGCAGGTAATGTGTGGGGTGGGAAGGATGGTGCTGCGGTAGCAGGCAGGGCGGTAGCAGGCAGGGCGGTAGCAGGCAGGGCGGTAGCAGGCAGGGCGGTAGCAGGCAGGGCGGTAGCAGGCAGGGCGGTAGCAGGCAGGGCGGTAGCAGGCAGGGCGGTAGCAGGGGGGGCGGTAGCAGGGGGGGCAGTCAAGGCAGATGAAACTCTCCAAGGCAGTTATTCAAGCACCCGCCCAGTGTGCCCTAGGCATGGATTATTCGAGGAGACAGCGCAACGAACCTACTTCCTCCCTTGCTGTCTCTCTCCTCTCCACCTCCCTCGTCTCCCTCTCCCCTTTGCCTCGTCCCCTACTTCCTTCGCCCCGCCTCTCCCCCTGCCCGTCCCCCCCCCCCCTGGGTGCGGTACCAAGCGGTGCAGTGGTGTACAGAGTATGCCCTGCTGCAACCCAACATTTGAGTCAATTCCAAACACATCTTTCCCCGCTGCCCCCCTTCCCCCATCCCGCCTCTCCCCCTGCCCGTCTCCTCCACCCCCCACGTGCGGTACCTAGCGGTGCAGTGGCGTACAGAGTATGCCCTGCTGCAGCCCAACATGAGAGTCGGCTGAGAAAAAACACATTCCCACTTCCCCACACCCCACTTCCCCCCACACCCCCACCTCTACTCCCCCCAGGTGCGGTACCTAGCGGTGCAGTGGCGTACAGAGTATGCCCTGCTGCAGCCCAACATGAGAGTCGGCTGAGAAAAAACACATTCCCACTTCCCCACACCCCACTTCCCCCCACACCCCCACCTCTACTCCCCCCAGGTGCGGTACCTAGCGGTGCAGTGGCGTACAGAGTATGCCCTGCTGCAGCCCAACATGAGAGTCGGCTGAGAAAAAACACATTCCCACTTCCCCACACCCCACTTCCCCCCACACCCCCACCTCTACTCCCCCCAGGTGCGGTACCTAGCGGTGCAGTGGCGTACAGAGTATGCCCTGCTGCAGCCCAACATGAGAGTCGGCTGAGAAAAAACACATTCCCACTTCCCCACACCCCACTTCCCCCCACACCCCCACCTCTACTCCCCCCAGGTGCGGTACCTAGCGGTGCAGTGGCGTACAGAGTATGCCCTGCTGCAGCCCAACATGAGAGTCGGCTGAGAAAAAACACATTCCCACTTCCCCACACCCCACTTCCCCCCACACCCCCACCTCTACTCCCCCCAGGTGCGGTACCTAGCGGTGCAGTGGCGTACAGAGTATGCGCTGCTGCAGCCCAACATGAGAGTCGGCTGAGAAAAAACACATTCCCACTTCCCCACACCCCACTTCCCCCCACACCCCCACCTCTACTCCCCCCAGGTGCGGTACCTAGCGGTGCAGTGGCGTACAGAGTATGCGCTGCTGCAGCCCAACATGAGAGTCGGCTGAGAAAAAACACATTCCCACTTCCCCACACCCCACTTCCCCCCACACCCCCACCTCTACTCCCCCCAGGTGCGGTACCTAGCGGTGCAGTGGCGTACAGAGTATGCCCTGCTGCAGCCCAACATGAGAGTCGGCTGAGAAAAAACACATTCCCACTTCCCCACACCCCACTTCCCCCCACACCCCCACCTCTACTCCCCCCAGGTGCGGTACCTAGCGGTGCAGTGGCGTACAGAGTATGCGCTGCTGCAGCCCAACATGAGAGTCGGCTGAGAAAAAAACACATTCCCACTTCCCCACACCCCACTTCCCCCCACACCCCCACCTCTACTCCCCCCAGGTGCGGTACCTAGCGGTGCAGTGGCGTACAGAGTATGCGCTGCTGCAGCCCAACATGAGAGTCGGCTGAGAAAAAACACATTCCCACTTCCCCACACCCCACTTCCCCCCACACCCCCACCTCTACTCCCCCCAGGTGCGGTACCTAGCGGTGCAGTGGCGTACAGAGTATGCGCTGCTGCAGCCCAACATGAGCGCTCGCCTCATGCTGCGGTGCACTCGCGGACTCATTAAAGCTGCCTGGACCGCCATTGGCGTGCGTGATGGGGAAGAAGGGAGGGACGGACGGACGAATAACGGAGGGGAAAGGCAGTTGGAGAGGAGGGAGGGAGGGACGGAGGGAGGGGAAAGAGGGTGGGGTTTGGTTGGGGCGGTGGTTTAGAGGGACTACGGCACGTTGTAGGGTGGTGTGCTGGTTGGCAGTAGATATATCACTTGTTATTTCTCTGCTATTATTTCCCAATCATTGTTTCATGGGACATGCAATCCTGCTCCCCACCCTCCGCCTTGCACTCCCTTACCTTAATCCCCTCCTTTCCCAATCCTTCTCTCTCACCCTTCTTGCTTCCTTTCTCTGGCATCTCCTCTCCCCCTCTCCGTCTTTGCACCATCAGACCAAGGGGTTATCGGATCGATTGTTTCTGGCCACGGACATGCATCCGGACGGCCGCCCTGTCTCCATGTCCTTTTACGGGCTTGAGTTCATGCAGCAGCGCATAGCCAAGCGTGTCATTCAGGTAAGATGGTTAACCTGCAATGGTAATATAACTGTTTGGTGCATGCAGCTCTGCGTATTGCCACACATCCCGAACTAAACCCCCTGTGCATATTTTGTGTTGCGAGTTGGTTTTATAAGTCTATCAGATGTGTGCTCCCATGCTGCCACTCTCCGCTGCCTGGCCTTTTCCTTGTCCTCCAGCTTCTTTACTCCAAGATGCAACCTGTTTCATGGACTACGGTGGACCCTCAGTTCCCGCACCTGGATGCTGGAGTGCAGGTGCCATCTTCTTCCCTTAGCCCTGACTCTTTGTTTGTCTGGCACCCCATTGTCAAAAAAGGCTCTTTCATGAAGCTCACGTTTACAGTACAAGCTGTGTCGTAAGGGTGCATGAAAGCACAGGCATTTTCAGTCACTGAAGTTGCATTCCTTTTTCTTTGTGCAGGGAATTCTGGACAAGCTGGTTTGCCTAAAGGCAACATATTTCCTATACCCTCCAGACCAGTGTGGAGGTCACAGCAGCAGTTTTACTCGGGACATTATTGGCAACAGACGGAAGAATAGGAGAGCCTTTCCCAGTGAAGCATGGAGCCTAGTGTAACAGATATGTATCCAGTACGCGAAATGCTGTGAAAAAAAGGGGAAATGTTAACAAAATACAACTTAATGTTCATGTATGCAGTGCGCTCACAGCACACTGCACAGAAAGAACTGTGGATGTCATTCTTCTGACTGAAAGGCTGGAGTGAGAAGCTGTTGTGGCTGGGCCGGTGTACCACTCTCCCTCTTGGACCATGTCCATGGCAACCACCAACGTGCTTTGTCAATAGACTTGGAGCCCGCCTGTCTGCTGTCGTTTGAGGTAAGCCTTTGCCGTTTGAGGTCTCCTCCAATAAGCGACTCATCCATATTCCGACCCTGTCCCATTCATAGGTGGATTGTGAATCAAACGACTGTGGGAGCAAACGGGAGAAACAGGGAAATGCACGCATTGAGTGACTTACCGCAGGCTCATGCCTGGATGGGCCGTCCAGAGTAACAACCGGGTTGTCCCCCAGGAATCTGCAAGTCAACTCCTCGGTTAAGATACGGATGAACTGAGATCGTCATACTTACATTTCCATGGTCCCTCACCTATAATTCCACTCGTAGACAATGGCAGGTGACGTTAAATCTCCTGTGAACGGTATTCGCACAGCGTAACCAGCAAAAGAACCTTCCTCGCCAAGAATCAAATCTCCTTCTTTCCAGGAAACAACCGTTGGATGATTAGCCGGACCGCTACCGACAACTCGTGCTTTCTCTGTGACCGAAAGGCTTAAGAGCATGATCTTAGCCTTTCCTCGATTGTGTATACCCAGTACGACGTGCCAATACGGTCGATTGCCGCTGGAAATAGCATTCGCCAAGCAGAGAGTAGCGTTCGATGTCATCTCAACGAGCGGAGTCGGCAAATGAGATTTCACCAGGTCAAACTTTCGTTTTGTTGCCCCCGTAGCTGTTTTCGACTCAATGGATTCCTTTCCTGCTGCATTCAGAGGTCTAGACGTAGGCTCCATGAAGCGTAAGTAATGTATGCTTTCAAAGGAAGCGTTAACGAATAGGGGTCGGAGGTTCTTGGGTCAACTCAGAAAGTTGGCATCCTGAAGTAGATCCATGAGGAAAATCTGGTCAGATGTTCAAACCTGATGCGTGTCACGAGGTACTAGCATTCAGAGTCTCTTCCGCGCGTTGCTCTGTGGTGGTGTACCGAGATGAAAGCAAGAGGCTGCTATGGGCCACGACAACGAGCTATGAGCCATGACAAGCTGCGTAATGAGAGTAATCTCTGTGTGTTCTTGGGAATTGAGAATCAGGACAGGGGGACCATGTGGGGAAAAGAATGCGGGAACCTCGAGGCTGATCCAAAACAAAATGCATCAAATATCCAGCTTCGCAAACCTCCACTGTGAGAGTGCATTTTTATGAGCTAAGAAAAATGCTCATGATCAATATCATACAAAGTAGAAGGGATATTATATATTTGGAAGGATTTCTAGCATGAAATGCTGAAACATGCATATATTACAAATTGTCTAGTAAAAGCAACCCGTTAACGTTCTCGCATGCTTTATTTGACATTGCATCTTATTGACACTGTTGAGATTGTCTGCTGTGTGTTGAGAGGGCCTACAAACCCTTCAAAACGGATTACGGTATGTGCTACTCCACGGCGTGTTTCCACACTCCACCACGGCTTTCGCGTCCACCGGTAACGCGTACAAGTAACAAGCAATAATTCCGCCAGCAGATTTTGTCTGGTAGACTATCGTTGACCACAATTATTTGCGATCACAGCCTCGTCAGTCAAAATTATTGTTGCTCGTGACGTTCGTCGGGGTCAGTGCCGTGTGTTGCCGAGGGATCTTCTCCCACCGACCGACACCTGGAGCAATGTGCGTAGAACCGCCTGCCGATAATTGTCCCCCCTGTCTTATCCACCACTGTTGCTGGCGTGGCGTGCGCGACATCTCGGACCGCCTGACCAAGGGAGATGAGGGAGAAGCGGAAAGCCATTTGGCGGAATACAGGCGACAGCACGGAACATCGTCCCCTTCGCGGAAATCCCAGAGCGCAAAAGCGGACGCAGGGAGGAAAGGAAGGGAGGAGATTCGAGAACCTCCCTGATCTGCTGGGGCGTAATGGAGCACCCCTTGAAACCCACGCGCGCAAGAGAACGTCTCCGAGACTCTCTCTGCATCTTGACGTCCCCTTCCGCCGCTTTTGCCTCTCAGCGGAATTCCATCCGTCCGATCAGCACCGAAGCTGCCATCCTTCGGCTTTCATTACCAAACCGAGGCTCGGCACGAGTAATTGCGCGTCGAGGAAACAAGTCATGCTCAGCCCAGTGCTGGGAATCTTGCGCCCGATGCGGCTTGCCTCACAACACAACAAACACAACAGTGGCGAAGAGAGGTGTCGTTCGTAGGATGAGAAGTGTCCCCTCATGTATCTCCATTCACCTCGAATAATTTCTGCTGTGTGTCTAGTTCGTGTGATCTTCTGCCGTTCTTTGCTTGTCGTGCATGCTCTATGCTCGCGAAACGCTCTTTCATTACGTTGCGTGCGATGGCCCATTATTGTAGCTCTTTCGCCTCTTTCACTCTGTGGAAACACGCTAATATTTTACCTCATTATTTTCACGAGCGCTAGTGAGTTTCGTTTTCTCCTGTCGAGACGTTCGCGAGTAAAGCACGAGAGCCCAAGATTTCCGTCATCAATCACGAAAGCGTTCTGCATTAGACAATTTTCCAGCCGCTGAGATAGACGAGACGTCTTTTTAAGCCTCTTAACGCCGCGAGACTTTCTTGATACACGAGACACGCGCGCCCGCGTGCTGAGAAACAAGATTAATAAACCAATTTCTGCCCATCTTGACCGTGTCCATGGCTGACGGGCGGAATTCTTTGAAACAAACCGTCCCGTCATATTTGACAGAAGGTACTGCAGTCAACGTTACTGAAAGACGCCGACTGCTGCGATGGCGGCTCGACGAGTCGTTGTCCGCTCGGACGGAGTTAGCCGACGGCGCGCTGGCGATTCGAGAGCATACACCTGCGCCGCCGCCACGGCCTTCTACGCCACCTGTCACACCGTCTCCCACGCCGCGGGACATGGCGCCGAGCAGCAGCTGCGCGCCGCAGCGATCAGCGCGACCTTCGAGCGGCGCCTGCCAAGCGCGGCGGAGGGCCTCCGGCGTTTGCGGGCAGCTCGGACGTTTGGGGAGTTCTCAAACTTCGACTTCCGCCACCGCTGGTGATTCTACCGTTGCTACTCTAAAGACCTCGGTTCCAGTAGTACCAGTAGTGGCGCGGCGCGCATTCGTTCCGCTCATGCTCGCGCTCATGCTGCTCGTAATCCCGCTGCCCGCGTCCGCGTCGTCGGCGGCTGCCGCAGCCGCGGGGGGCGCACGAGAAGCCCGCGGACGCTCCCCGCGCAAGTTCTGGCGGAACACGCCTGGCGATGCGGGGGAATGGCAGGAGCTCCCCCTCGAGCAGCTGAGCTGGACAGGCGGTAGTGAAGCAGCTTTTGGTGGTGAGGAAAATACGCAGCAGCTGGAATTGATCCCACGATCTAATCCAATAGGGATGAAATCACGGACGAAAATGAGAACTCAGAGGAATTCAATGGCGGTGGTGATAACGGGGAATAAAAAACCGCGGCGGCGGTTGCCGTGGGGGAAAGCGGCGAGTACTGGTCCTAGTAGTGCCGGCGGAGTGGGCTGGTTTGCGCCGGATACGGCGGAGAGAAGACTGGGCGACTCGGATTACTACGGGGAACGCGGTGGAACCGGGGAATCCATGCGAAGGGGACGGCGGAGATCGTGGGAGGAGGGAGATGGACGGCTGGATGGGGCTGACTATAACGAGGATGAAGGATATTACGGGGCTGACGATGACGGGGGCTCGACGAAATTCGTCGGTTCGTGGACGGAGAGTGACGGTTGGTTGGCGCCAAGTGAGTATAACGGTGGAGCGGAAGTTGACGCTGTCGACGTGGCTGGCCATGGCTGGACGGAATCTGACGGAGCTTTGACGGAACGCGGACGTGACTGGTCAGAAGAGGGTGCGGAGATCAACCAATGGGAGCAGGCATCGCTGCCAGAGGAGTCCGTTGACGGAGGAGGTTCGTGGACGCAGGAGTCGGACTACGACTGGCAGACGGATTCCGTCAGCGAGCTAACGGGCGGATTCATATCCCGTCAGGGCAGTGACGAATCGGGTGAAGAGGACGATATACTGAGTTCGTGGGCAGAGGAACGCTGGGATGAGGCTGCAGAGGAGCAGGAACAGCAGCACGAGGAGGAAGTAGAAGAAGAATCAGAAGTGGAAGAGGAAGAGGAGGAGGAGGAGGAGAAGGAGGCAAGAAACGGAAACGTGCGTGCTAAGGAAGAGGCAGCAGCACGAAGGGGCGAGGAGGAAGAGTGGGGAGTGGCGGCTGTAACAAGAGGAGCAGGACGAGTGTTCGGCAAGGGGAGAGGTACTCATGGGAAAAGGGGCTGGAACCATCAGGATGGCGGCAGGAGAAGGGGCACGGGCCGGCGAATCCGCAGGCGAAACGGCAGGCGAACTGGGAGGAGGAACAACGCGAGAGGTGGTGGGAGTGGGAGTGGCGGCGTGAAGAGCTGGGCGGGCCTGAAATTGCAAGGGGGGAAGCGAGGGCGCGAGATGCAGACTTGGAGCAGAAAGAGGCGGCTTGACGTGGAGAACAAGGTTAGCGCTGGTAGTGCTGCTGCTGCTGCTGGTACAGCTACAACTGCTAGCGCTGCTGATGGTGAGGGAGGAAGGACAGCAGTGCCTGTTCGTGCAGCTGTGACCTCTGGAGATGCGGCAACGACAGCATCAGCTGGACCAGAAGCCGAAGCAGCATCCGGAGGCGCAACAGCAGTGGTAGAGAGCGGCAGTGGCAGCAGCAGTAGCAATAGCAGCAGCGGCGGCAGCGGCAGCAGCAACCTTCTAGTGAACCCGAGCTTCGAGCAGCTGCAACCAGACGGTCTGCTGCCCTTGGGATGGACCGCCTCTGGCAATCTCTCCGTGCGCTGCCTCCCTACTACCACCACCACCACCATCACCACCACCACCACCACCGGCGCTGCCACCAACAGCAGCAGTGGCAGAGGAAGCTACTACGGGAGCAGGTCTAGCTACTACGGCCTTCCGTCCGCCCCTATTACGCCCGCCCATGGCCGTTGCGTTGCCATTCTTGCTTCCGGCTGCTCCCTCCCCTCCACCTTCTCTTCCTCCTCCTATTCCTCCTCCTATTCCTCTTCGTCTCCCGAGCCGTCCTGTCAGGGCTCTCTATCCCAAGCCGTGACAACAGTCCCAGGAGCAACGTACCTGCTGCAGCTCTCTCTTGCGTCTGTGCCCCTCCCGTTCGCCCCGCCCTCGCCCTTCGCCCTGCAAATCCTACTGGGGAACCAATCCGTGCTGCTGTCGGCACAGGAGAGAAGGGAGAGTGGAGGAGGAGGGGGGGGAGGAAGAGATGGAGGAGGAGGAGGTAATGGGGGAGGAGGGGGTAGTGGAGGAGGAGTAGGAGGAGGGGAGGGAGACGGGGGTGGGAGTGCAGGTGGGAGTGTGGGTGGGAGTGGGGATGGGGGTGGAAGGTTCTGGGATGGGTGGTTTGACTGGTTCCCTGGTTTTAACTTGGGTTCCAGTCAAGCACAAGGTGCCTCCACGGAAATTCCTGCTTCCTCTGCCACTGCTGCTGCTGCTGCTGCTGCTACTCTTCCTGCTGCTGGCGCCGGTGCTGCTCGTGCTGCTGCTGCTGCTGCGGGTTCTGCTGCTCCACCTGCAGCGTACGCAGCAGCACTGTCGTTCCACGTGGCGGCCATCCAGTTCGTGGCAGCAGGGGAATCGACGACGGTGGTGCTGCAGGTGAAGGGAGGAGCCAATGCCACTATGGTTGACGCCTTGTCCCTCATGCTGCTCCCTGCTGCTGCTGCCAATGGCAGCGGTGGTGCTGGTAGTGGTGGTGGTGGGGGTGGGAATGGGAGTGGAAACAGCACAGGCACACCGCTGCTGCTCCAGTTCCCTCCCTCGCCTTCCTCCTCCAATACCTCAGCGTCCCCCTCACCTTTCATTCTCTCAGGTGATGCTTCGCTGGTCAACTCCTCCTCTGCTGATTCCTCCGATTCCTCCCAAGGCTCATCCTTGCCCTCCATTCTCCTTGGCACCAGCAGCGGCGACAGTGGTGGCGGCAGCGGCGCCAACAACGGTGGCGGTGGCAGCGGGAGCGGATCTATATTCTTTGCTCAGCCGTTGTACATCCTTTCTACCATCGACTCGAATGCCACGTCCAATTCCTCCTCATCCTCCTCTCCCTCCTCTCGCTCCTCTCCCTCCTCTCCCTCCTCCTCCTCTTCCTGCAAATCCTCTTCCTTCTTCACCTCTTTCACTTTCTCCACCAGCAAAGCTACTCCCTCCTCCTCATCCTCCCCCTCCTCCGCCACTCCAACAGCACCCAGCAGCATCGCTCTTGTCTTCTCCCCGCTTCCTACAACCACGCCCCTCTGCCCTATCACCACCAACTCCACCTCTTCCTCCTCCTCCTCCTCCTCCTCTTGCCTCTGCTTTGGCCCCTCCTCCTCTCCGTCTCCCTCCTCCTCCTCCTCCTCCTCCTCCTCCTCCTCCTCCTCCTCCTCCTCCTCCTCCTCCTCCTCCTCCTCCTCCTCCTCCTCCTCCTCCTCCTCTTCCTCCTCCTCCCCCCACCTCTTGCCCTGCCCCCCTCGCTTGATTGTCCAAATCGACACGTCAGCAGCAGCAACATCGGTTGGTGTTGGGATCATGCACGCTGTTACTCAATGGCTCGCTTTAAACTCCACTGCTGCTGCTACCACCACTGCTGCTGCTTCTGCTGCTGCAACAGATGTGACTGTATCGGTGGAATACTGTGCGCCACTGCAGATGCTTACAGTGGCACTGAACCTCAATCCACCCCTCCTGTCCTCACTAGCTGCAAGCAGCAGCAGCAGTAATGGTAGCAGCGGTGGCAGAAACGGCAGCGGTAGTGGCAGTGTGTTTTTCATTCCCTCCTGCCCGATGACTTCTGCTCTCACCACCACCAGCAGCAGTACCAACAGCAGCAGCAACAGCACCAACAGCAGCAGCAGCAGCACCAACAGCAGCAGCGCAACAGCGCAACTGGTGGTGAGCGCACGGGTGAACCTGTGCCAACTAATGACTTCAACGGTCAGCAGCACAAGCAGCAGGACCGCACGCACCTTGCGCTCTTCTACTCCTTCTTCCTCTTCCTCTTCTTCCTCCTCCTCCTCCTCCGCCTCATTCTCCTCTGCTCCTGTGAACGCCGACTCAAGTGCAGCTGCAGCTTCTGCTGGCGCCGCTAAGACGGACAGACTCCTTGCTGAGTCAGGCAACACAGGCCAGACGTCGTCCGCTCCCGCTTCCGCTCCCTCTTCCTCTCCCGCTCCTTCTCCCTCCTCCTCTCCTTCTCCCTCTCCCTCTCCATCTCCATCTCCCTCTTCCCGCCTACCTCTATTTCTCGGGATAGCAGCATCCTCTGGGAGTGATGGCAGTGGGAGTGGTGCTGCTGCAGGCAGCCCGTTCGTGGTTCACTCGTGGATGGGCGCAGGTGAGCATTGTGTGGGGAGTGCGGTGAGATGGAGTGAGGTGAGGTGACATGAGGATAGGGACAAGGCGAGGAGTTCATGTTTTTCCATAACCCTCCTGTCCCTCCTCCTATGCCTTGTTCTCCTTGCCCTTCCTGCTCTGCTCTCTCTGCTCTCTCTGCTCTCTCTGCTCTCTCTGCTCTCTCTGCTCTCTCTCCCATGCCCTTCTCTCGCTGTCCTCCTGCCTTCATACTAAACATGCACTCCCCCCTCTCTCCCAACACCCTCCCTCTCCTCCCGTGCCCTTCTCTCCATCCCTCCCATGCCCCTCCACCAGACACCGCCACAGCCCTAAGCTTCGTCCCCCCCCAGCCACCATCACCAACACCATCACCATCACCATCACCATCACCATCACCATCACCATCACCATCACCATCACCAACACCACCACTACCACCAACACCGCCGCCACCATCACCGCCAGCAGCAGCAGCAGGAGGCATGAGTCCGTGGCTGATAGCGGTGATAGTCATTGGATCCTTGCTCGCGCTGGTGCTGCTGCTCATCTGCCTCGTGCTGCTCCTGCGCCGCAGGGCCGGCCACAGCGGTGAGTCTACGTTGACACGCCTTTGAGAATCACAACCCAAACGCTTACCATTTCCAGATAGGTGATGCTGCTGAGCTGCCTCGTGCTGCTGCTGCTGCTGCGCCGTAGGGTTGGCCACAACTTTGAGTGAGTGTGCTTTGAGACGCCTGTGAGAATTATAAAAGACCGCCACCCAGGCGCTCGTGCTCGTGCTCGTGCTCGTGATGCTGCTGCTGCTGCTGCTGCTGCTGCTGCTGCTGCTGCTGCTGCTGCGCCGTAGGGTTGGCTACAGCGGTGAGTGTGCTTCCAGATGCCTGTGAGAATGATAAAAGACCGCCACCCAGGCGCTCCTTCTGGGGCACTCGCTCACTCATTCTTCCTTCTTATTCCCATGCTCCTTCCCCTGCACCCTTCCCTCCACGGTCCACCGCTGCAGCACGCGTGATGGGAGCTCCAAGCTCGGGAGACGTTTACAACAAAGGGAAGGGCGGAGGAGAGGCTTCAACAGCTGAATGTTCCTTCCCATCCCCATGCCTCTGCCCCCCCACCCTTCCCTCCGCCGCTGCAGCACGCGTGATGGGAGCTGCAAGCTCAGGAGACATTTACAACAAAGGGAAGGGCGCCGGAGAGGAGACAGGCTATGGAAAAGAGGCAGTGGCTTATGGAAGCGGAGGGATGGCAGGAGGAGCAGGAGGAGGAGGAGGAGGAGGAGGAGGAGAGAGAGTGCTTTCACCATTTGAACTGGCAGCAGCACGAATTGGACTAGGAAGGCAAGGGGGGGCGCCGTTGGGGGGTGAGGGGACGGGGTTGGTACATGCTGGGACGGGAGGAGGTATGGGAGGAGGCATGGGAGGAGGCATGGGAGGAGGCATGGGAGGAGGGATGGGAGGAGGCATGGGAGGAGGCATGGGAGGAGGCATGGGAGGAGGCATGGGAGGTGGTATGGGAGGTGGTATGGGAGGAGGTATGGGAGGAGGTATGGGAGGTGGTATGGGAGGAGGAATGGCTGTGACGGGAGGGGAAGGCGCAGAATCAGCAGCAGCGGCGGCGGCGGCGGCAGCAGCAGCAGCAGCGGCAGTGGGAGTGGTGGGAGTGGCCGGTGCAGCAGCAGCAGCAGCAGCAGCAAGAAGGTCACAGCACACTGACCCAGACTATCCTTCAGGAGGCACAGAAAACGCCACAGGAGCAGCAGCAGCAGCAGCAGCAGCAGCAGCAGCAGCAGTACCCATCGCACTGCCCCTCGCCCGCATCAGCAGCGCCAGGAGCAGCAGCAGCAGCGGCGGCAGCGGCAGCAGCAGCGGCTCCGCCCCTCCTCTCCGCGTGTTCCGTCTAGCAGAGCTCCGACGTGCCACCTCCAGCTTCCACCAGCGCAACCTCCTAGCCCAGCAGCTCGAATCAGCCCGCAGGGATGCCAGCAGCAGCAACAACGCAGATCTCACCAACCCGGCCGCTGCCTCCTTTGCTTCCTTCAGCTTCCGCAGCATTTCCCGAGGCAGGAGCAGTGCTGGCAGTGGGTCGTTCGGCTCGGGTCGGTCCTCTGGGTCCTCTCTGGGTTCGTTTGGTGCTGCTGGTGGGGCTGGTGGGAGCGGTGGGAGTGGTCGGGAGGTGGGCGGGAGTGGGAGAGCGGGTGCGGGTGACGCGGGGGAGGGGAGTGGGAGGGTGGTGGCGGCGGGAGTGGTGGGCGCGGGGGCGTATGGGGACATGTATGCTGCGCGCACGGACGGGGGGAGTGCGTGGGCGGTGAAGCGGATGAGCGAGGAGGCGTGCTCGGCTGATGCTGGGCCTGCGGCGTTCCAACACGAGGTGAGACGGGAGGGAGAACTTGGGTGCTGCTGAATCCTTTCTTGTGAATGGTGTGTGGATCTCTTGAGCGCGTGGGCGGTGAAGCGGATGAGTGAGGAGGCGTGCTCGGCTGATGCTGGGCCTGCGGCGTTCCAACACGAGGTGAGACGGGAGGGAGAACTTGGGTGCTGCTGAATCCTTTCTTGTGAATGGTGTGTGGATCTCTTGAGCGCGTGGGCGGTGAAGCGGATGAGTGAGGAGGCGTGCTCGGCTGATGCTGGGCCTGCGGCGTTCCAACACGAGGTGAGACGGGAGGGATGGGATGGGAGGAAGAAGGCGTGAGGAGGGAGGGATAAGCGGGGCGTTGCATGTGGGTGGTGCATGGACTTTCTAGCGCTTGGGCGGTGAAGCGGATGAGTGAGGAGGCGTGCTCGGCTGATGCTGCGCCTGCCGCGTTTCATTTCAACAACGCACCTCTCTTTGGGGCGGCTGCCTCTCTCTCAACCACACGTTGAGTCTACTCAGAAATATTCTCAACCACATGCGAACCTCCCTCCCCCACTCGTGCCGCCCCTCCCTCCCTCCCTTCCCGGTGGCGCTATTTGCATCGCAGTCGCACCACCAGCGGCTGGCGCGCATAGTGGGGCTGTGCCACGAGTGCGGGGAGCAGGGAGCGGCGTTACTTTTGAGAACTCTCAAAAGTAACACCAATATAGTGGGGCTGTGCCACGAGTGTGGGGAGCAGGGAGCGGCGTTACTTTTGAGAACTCTCAAAAGTAACACCAATATAGTGGGGCTGTGCCACGAGTGTGGAGAGCGCTGAGTCGCTTTGGTCAGAGCACCACATGCAAACCACTTGCAAACCACATGCAAACCACTTGCAAACCACTTGCAAACCACTTGCAAACCACTTGCAAACCACTTGCAAACCACTTGCAAACCACTTGCAAACCACTTGCAAACCACTTGCAAACCACTTGCAAACCACTTGCAAACCTCCCTCCCCGCTTCTGCCCTGCTATCTGCTCCCCAGGTGGCGCTGTTCGCATCGCAGGCACACCAGCGCCTGGCGCGCATAGTGGGGCTGTGCCACGAGTGTGGGGAGCGCATGGTGGTATACCAGCTGCACTCGCCGCTCTCCTCCCTCTTCTTCCGCCTGCACCGCGCCCCAGGTACCTTCCCCCCCCTTTCCCCCCACTTCCCCCCCCTTCCCCCCACTTCCCCCCACTTCCCCCCACTTCCCCCGCCTTTCCCCCCCTTCCCCCCCCTTTTCCCCCCCTTCCCCCCCCTTCCCCCCCCTTCCCCCCCCTTCCCCCCACTTCCCCCCACTTCCCCCCCCTTCCCCCCCCGTCCCCCCACTTCCCCCCCCTTCCCCCTCTCCTCCCGCTCCCTCCCGCTCACCATCCCTTTCATCTCGCACATGCCTGACCACTTCAACCCCACGATACTACCACCACCTCCTCCTCTCTCACTTTGAGACGTCTCAAAACCACGCTACTACCACCGCTTCCTCCTCTCTCACCCTCCCTTTCCTTGCCCCTTCCGTTGGACTCCGTTGGACCCCTTCTCACCCTACCCCACCCCACCCCACCCAAACCCACCGCACCTCAACCCACCCCTCTACTCCCACGTCACCCCACCCACCCCACCGCATTCCACCGCAGTGGACCACTTCCTGTCGGCGCAGCAGCGGGTGAACGTGGCGATATCTCTGGCAGAGGGTCTGGCCTTCCTGCACGCGCACTCGCCTCCCCTCGTGCACCGCAACGTGAAGCCCACCAACGTGCTGCTCTCTCCCAACGGCCACCACGTGTGTACCTTGCCTCTTTTCCTGCCTTCCCCTTGCCTTCCGCTGCCGTGCCACCCCTGTTCCTGTTCCTGCCTTCCCTTGCCTTTGCACCCCTTTTCATCCCTTCCTGTGCCCCTTCATGCCCACCCAACACGCCTCTCCCTGCCTTCCCCTCCCTCCTCTTCCTTCCCATGCCATGCCTTGCCTTGCCATGCCTTGCCTTGCCATGCCTTGCCTTGCCATGCCTTGCCATGCCATGCCATGCCTTGCCATGTCTTGCAATATGCTACATGCTCTCATCTCATCCTTCCCTCCCTACCCCCCTCCCCATCCCTCTCACCCCTTTCCCCCTCTCCCATCCCCCCCCACCAGGCGAAGCTAACGGACTTCTGTTTCGCGCATCCAGCACCGGGCGAGGACGGGGTGAGGGTGCCACAGCAAGCGCAGGAGCAAGGCTATGTCGCCCCAGAGCTGCTGCTGCCGCCCGTGCTCTCCTTCTCCCCAGCCACTGACGTGTACAGGTGAGCGGCTGACGTGTACAGGTGAGCGGCTGACGTGTACAGATGTGTTACTGACGTGTAGATTTGAGCCGCTGACGTGGAGTACAGGTTGGTGACCGAAGACGACAGACCAGCGCTGTGAAGTGCAGTGACTCTTAGGTTGGCAAGAAAGTCACCGTGTTGCGAGCTGTGCAGTGCTGTGCAGTGCATTGCAGTGCTGTGTCTTTTGAATGTGGCTTGCTTTTGAGGTGTCGTTTCAGAAGACGTTCATTAACCTAAAAAAAAAAACAAAACAAAAAAAAACCAAATAAAAACAAAAACAAAACAAAACATTAACAACAACCAACCGTCTTCCCTTTCCCCTCCTCCACCTCCTCCTTCCCCTCGCCCTCCCCCTCCTCCTCCCCCTCCCCTCCCCCATCAGCTTCGGAGTGATTCTGCTGGAGCTGCTAACAGGGCGTCTGGCTGTCATGCCGGATCCAGAAGACCCGGAGGAGCAGCTAGTCATCACAGACTGGGTCAGTTGCTGCTCATAACGCCACTGCTGCTTCTGCCGCTTCTGCAGCTGCTGCCACTCTTTCTTTTGTTCTTTCTTTCTTCCCCCTTTTCTGCTGCTGCTGCTGCTGCCTCCGTTGCTGCTGCTGCTGCTGATGATGATTCTGCCCCTCCCCACCCCTCCACGCCCCTCCCCGCACCTCTCCATCCCTCCCCACCAGGCCGTGCATTTCATTAACGAGAATCAGGTCGAGCTTATAAAGGATCCCCGCGTCTTCACACCAGCTACAGCCGCCGGTTTCACCGCCCTCGCAGCCCTAGCAGTAGACTGCATCAGAGTGCCGGCAGTAAGGCGCCCTCCCATGCCCTCCGTGCTGCAGAGACTGATGGATATTCGCAGGAACGTGTTTGGGTTCCCGGCTAGAGCGCCTCCTGATCCCGGGTTTACCGGGGATAGGGATGGGGACGGGGGGAGCGTGAGTGGCAGGGGCGGGGTTGGTGGTGGTAGTGGTGGGAGTGGGCGGTTTGGGAGGGAGATGTTTGGGAGTGGGAGGCAGGGTGGGAGTAGTGGTGCTGGTGCTGGTGGTGGTGATGGTGGTGATGGTGGCGATGGTGGCGATGGTGGCGATGGTGGTGATGGTGGTGCTGCTGGTGGTGTATATAGTGCCAGTGCATATGCGATTGGTTCAAGAGAGGGGGATTGGTCTCGGGAAGAGCAGATGGTCGGGGAGGGTGAGGAGAAGGAGGGAGAAGGGTACAGCGACAGAGACGAAGTGGAAGAGGAAGAGGAAGGGGAAGAGGACGAGGGAGATGAGGGAGCACGCGGGTTGCAACAAGGATACGCATTCGAGCCAGCAGCAACAGCAGCAGCAACAGCAGCAGCAGCAGCAGCAGCAGCAGCAGCAGCACTGCCACTTATAGCAGAAGAGCGCTCGGATGAAATGACAATGGAGGAGGAGGAGGAGGAGGAGGAGGAGGCGAGTAGTGGCAGGGACGCTGCATATTACACACCTTCAGAGGAACAGCTCTCTGCTATAGACGACCGCTCTGCAAGAGACGAGCTCTCTGCAAGAGGCCAGCTCTCTTCTATGGAGGACCTGTCTGCAATGGGCGAGCTTTCAGCCATGCCCAGTGCAGGCCTCGATGCTTCCTCTATAGCAGCGGACAGCAGCGTGCCCAGTGACATGAGCGTGGATCGCTTTAGCGAGGAGGCCTATAGCGAGGATCAACTGTACGGGAGTGAAATCAGTGGGGGTGAAATCAGTGGGAGTGGGATCAGTGGGAGGGAAGAGGTGAGGGAGGGGGGGTCTATTGGCGAGCAGATGAGTTCTAAGTATTACAGTTTGGAGCATGTATACTCAGTGGGTGATTCTCAGGCTTTCTCTTCTCCTGCTGCTGCTCCTGCTCCTGCCTACCCACCTGCGTCTGCATCTGCTGCTTCTGCCGGTGCTGCTGCCGGTGCTGCCGGTGGTGTTGCTGCTGCTGGTGCTGCTGCTGGTGCTGCCAGTGCTGCTGCTGGTGCTGCAGGTGCTGCCGGTGCTGCCGGTGCTGCCGGTGCTGGCAGTTTCCCCCTTGCTACCCCTTATGAGGCAGACGCAGCTGCTCTTTCCGACCCGTTAGTTCCTTTCTCCCTCTCGTCCGAATTACAAGCCTCCTCATCTGCTCCTTCCGAACTCGGCATCGGCCTCGGCCTAGGGTTTGCAGCAGGGGGAATGTATTTTTCCAACCTAAGTGTTATTGAGAGTGGCGACGAAGCAAGCGAGTCGGACTATAGCGAGGACGGACGGAGCCGCTTCGCTGCTACCCCTCCCCTTCCTCCTGCTGCTGCTGCTGCTACTCCTCCTGACATCTCCCCTGCTTTCCCTACTGCTGAAGCGTCCTCTGGCATATCAGCATCTGCACCTCCACCCTTCAACCTCGCAACGTCTCAGGACATAGCAGCAGCAGGTGCAGCAGCAGGCGCAGCAGCAGACGCACCAGCTGCCGCACCAACAGGTGCAGCAACAGGCACACCTGCACGCGCAGCAGCAGCAGCAGCAGCAGTAGATGCACCACCTTCCTTGGACATTCCTCCTCGTGGTGTGGGTTTCTCCTCCTCCTCCACTGCGTTCCCATCTCCCCCTGCTACCAAAGCAGCAGCCAGATCCGCGTGCTACTACACAGACTCTGAAGGCAGTGAGAGTGCACAGAGCGACAGCTTTGATGCGCCTCAACCTCAACGGTATTAGTAAGACGAATCTGTACTGGCACCGCAGCAGCAGCAGCCAGATCCGCGTGCTACTACACAGACTCTGAAGGCAGTGAGGGTGTTTGGAGCGACAGCTTTGATGCGCCTCAACCTCAACGGTATTAGTACTGTAAGACGAATCAGTACGGGCACCAAAGCAGCAGCAGCGGGGTCCGCGTGCTGCTATTACACCGACTCGTCGGAAGGCAGTGCTCGGCAGAGCGAGAGCTTTGATGTGCCTCAACCTCAACGGTATTAAGGCGAATCCGTATGGCCACCAAAGCAGCAGCAGCAGCTGGGTCCGCGTGCTGCTATTGCACCGACTCGTCGGAAGGCAGTGCTGGGTGTTCAGAGCGAGAGGGAGGGGCCGTGCTGAAGAAAGGCAGGCGGGAATCACAAGACAAGAGGCATGTCCTCCTGAGGCGGAGGCATCTCAAACACCAGTAGCAGGAGCAGCTGGGTTCTCCTCGTGCTACCACCACACCGACTCTCCAGAAGGCAGTGAGGCGGGGCAGAGCGAGAGGGGTGGCAGTGGCAGTGCCGAAGAAAGACGAAAGGAGGGCATTGCTGAAAAGAGGCGGTGTCCTTTCCTTTCGTACCGGTAGCATCCGAATAAAGGCATCAGAAGAGGCGGTTCGTGGGTGGTGGTGGTGTCATGTCCTTTCCTCGTGCTACGGTACCACACCACACCAACCCTGAGCTGGATAGAGTTGGAGCCTGGAGGAATAATAAATATGTAGGTGGTAGGGGTGTGTAGGGCAGGCATTGGCATTGTTGTGGGTGTGCCGGTACCACCGGACGTCTGTTTAACAGTAATGGTAGACAGATATGAACACAGTGTGTATAGAAAGGTCTACCATACGTCTATTGAATAATCTGGGCCTGATATTGAAGCTGCCTGTTATGAAACCCATTACTGGAATACTAGCCAGGTTACAACAAGAGTGTATAATTTCTAGTTTAATACCGGTATACGGTACTAGCTTCACTTTTGAAATAAGGAGAAAATACAACCACCCAAGCGAATATGGAGTGTAGTGTAGATACTGTAGAAAACGGTAGAGGGAGGAGCGATCTAAGTAAACACGTTGGTCAGCAACTCAACTCAGCGGTCCACAATCATCGCCTTGCTCACAAGAAACCAAAGGCTCTGGTAGGGATGTGGAGGGCGGAAGGCCATGGGTGGGATGGGATGGGATGGGATGGGATGGGATGGGATGGGATGGGATGGGATGGGATGGGATGGGATGGGATGGGATGGGATGGGATGGGATGGGATGGGATGGAGTGGGATGGGATGGAGTGGGAAAGAGTGGTGTGGAGGTTCGACAGGGAAGATAATAAACACGTTGGTCAGCAACTCAACTCAGCGGTCCACAATCATCGCCTTGCTCACAAGAAACCAAAGGCTCTGGTAGGGATGAGGAGGGCGGAAGGCCGTGGGTGGGATGGGATGGAGTGGTGATGAGAAAGGGGTGGGAAGGAAGGAAGGAGGGAGCATATGGGAAGGGAAGTGGGAAGGAAGGGAAGGAAGGAGTGCAGGGAGGCGGGTGGGCGGGTGGGTAGGAAGAGGGATGGGACACATGGAACAAGGAGGACAAGAAAGCGTGCAAATCAACGACTAGAGAGTGGAGGGCAGAGCATTGTATGGCATGGGGGGCAGGCAGGGCGTTGTATTCAAATGAGTGGGCTAGAGCGCAGACGTGGAGAGCAAAGCAGAAAAGGCAGATTCAAGAGTGGAGATTGCTAGGTGTGATGGTGTATCAGTTTTGAGAGTAGGAGGAGTACAATAAAGTGATAATATCCAGATCCAAAATTGGAGATTGCTGAATGTGCCTGTCGGCCTTTCTGCCTGTCTGCCCGTCTGCCTGTCTGCCTCTCTGTAAATCTCCCCGTTACCACTTCACCACACACCGTACCTTTTTCTTCTCCTTCTCCTTCTCTGCACGTGCCGCCATTTTCGGGTTAGGCTGCGGCCACCGGATGTTATCATACTCTCCTGACGCCTCTGCCTCCTCTGCTCCGCCGCTGTGGTCTCTGCTGCCTTGTGCTGCAGATGCAAAAGAGCGGTCAGCAGCACTAGCCGAATCATCATCGTAAAAGTCGTAACCATCACCGGCAGAAGCAGCAGCTGCCGCAGCGGCAGTGGCAGCAGCAATCTGCCCATCACCAATATACGGCGACCGCTGCTGCTGCTGCTGCTGCTGCCGGTGCTGCCCTGCTTCTCCTCCTCCCTCCTCACCCTGCCTCCCCTCCCCTCCCACTGCATAATAGTCATAACTGTCAAACTCACTGGTACTACCAGCATCACCGAAACCAGCGCCACAATCACTGCTGGTACCGTGCCAGTCAGCCGCAGCAACAGCGCCACCAGCAGCAGCAGCAGCAGCAGCAGCAGCATCACCCTGATCACCACCGTCACTCCTGCAGACATAGCCTTGGCTTCCCTCGTAGCCCATACCCACTTCCCTCCCAGCCCTCTCCACCGCACCACCAGCAAGTTCCTGCTGACACTGTCCCTGCTCCCAGCCTCGATTCCCCTGCTCCTCCCTCTGATGCTCCCTCTGATGCTCCCTCTGCTGCTCTCGGTCTACTCCCGTTACCTCCCTACCTTCCTCCTTACCTCCCTCTATATCTCCCTCCTGGTCTCCCTCTCCCTCTCTTCCCTCATCACCACCTCTTCCGTCCACGCCAAAGCTGTTCCTTTGCCCCTCCCCACCAGCACCCGCCTCACTGCCGGGTTTGCTACTCCTGCTCATCTCTCCGCTCCCTTCAGCAGCACAGCCACCACCACCAACACTGTAGTCCTCACCACCGCCACCACCACCGGAATCACTGTTACCACCAACACCACCGGAATCATTGCTACCGCCACCACCACCATAATCATCATTATCATCGTAGTAATACCCTCGGCTGTTCCACACGATAGGCACATGAGCAGGAGCAGTATGGCTGTTGCCGCGCCTGCTGCCTTGCCTGCTGCCGCTGCTTCCGCTGCTGCTGCTACCACCACTTCCCAACTCATCATGCGACACTCCTTGCTCTGCGCTCCTCTTCGTCACATCTGCAGATGCAGCAGCAGCATCACAAGTGGTAGCATCAGCAGCACATGCAACAACAGCAGGGAAATCAGCAGCCGCCTCCTCTTGAGTCGACTCAAAAGTCACCTCAGCAGCAGGGAAATCAGCAACTGCCTCCTCCCCGTTACCTCCATGCAACCTGCCACCCATCACTCCCTCTTCCGAACCCCTTCTCTCTCCCCTCTCTCCGTCCTGCTCTCCCTCTCTCTCTCCGGCTCCCTCTCCTACCCCTCCCTTCTCCCCCACACCTCTCTCCACCACCCCCTCTTCCTCTGCAATCACCAGCCCTTCACTCAAATCAGCACCATTCAAGCCAAAGCTACTCAGACTAGCATTATCACCACCACCGCTGCCCCCACTGCCGAAATCCCTGCTCCCCCCCCCACTGCCGCCGCTCCTCCGCCTGCTCCCCACAGCCCGCCCAAAGCTCCCCTGTCTCGTCCGCCCCTTGGTGAAAATCGCCCGCCTGCTGCTGCCGCGTGTGTTACTGGCAGCAGCAGCAGCACCATCAGCACATTTAGCAGTATCAGCAGCAGCACAAGCAGCAGCAGCAGCAGCAGCAGCAGCACCACCAACAGGGCCGGCAGCAACACGAACAACACTCGAGTCATCACCAGCACAAGCAGCAGAAGCAGCAGCAGAAGCAGAATGCGCAGTACTAGCCCCTGCCTCGCCAGCAGCACTACAATGGTCCTCCTCCTGACCACACTCCACCTGCACTGCCGCTTCAGTGGCGCCTTCTCTCCCCCTCTCAACCATCCCCACAGCTGCTGCTGCTGCTACCTGTGCTGCTGCTGCCTGTGCTGCTTCTGCTTGCAGTTGGGTGTGCGTTTTTGCTTCAAGGGCTTTCACTTGTGCTTGTTCTTCTGCCCCCGCCTGTTCCTGTGCCCGTGCCCGTGCCCGTGCCCGTGCCCGTGCCTGTGCCTGTTCCTGTGCCCGTGCCTGTGCCCGTGCCTGTGCCTGTTCCTGTGCCCGTGCCTGTGCCTGTTCCTGTGCCCGTGCCTGTTCCTGTGCCCGTGCCTGTGCCTGTTCCTGTGCCCGTGCCTGTGCCTGTTCCTGTGCCCGTGCCTGTTCCTGTGCCCGTGCCTGTTCCTGTGCCCGTGCCTGTGCCTGTTCCTGTGCCCGTGCCTGTGCCTGTGCCTGTGCCTGCTCTTCTTCCCCATCAGCACCCGTTTCTCTTCCAGCCATTGCAGCCACTGCCTCTGCACCAGAAGCAGCAGCAGGGACTGCAGCAGCAGCAGAAGCAGAAGCAGAAGCAGAAGCATCCGCAGCAGCAGCAGCCGCAGCAGAAGCAGAAGCAGACGCAGAAACAGAAGCAGAAGCAGAAGCGGGAGCACAGGGCATGGTGGCAGAAACAGCATACCGCACATCAGCAGCATTCGCCACACCACCACCATCACCACCACCACCACCATCCAGACAACCACTGTGCATCAGCAGCGACCCCTGAGCACTGCAGAACGATCGAACTGCCATCAGTCTCTCCCCCCGCCCTGCCTCCACCTCCCCCACTCGCACCTCCCCCGTTTGCACCTCCCCCGTTTGCACCTCCCCCGAGCGCACCTCCCCCGCTTGCACCCTTCCCACCGCCCCCCCGTCTCCTCCTCCTCCTCCTTGCTCCGCGCTCTCTCCCGGAAACAACCGCCGCACCCGCCACTCCCCAAACCCGTGCCTCTCCTCCCCCCCTCTCCACAACCCACTCTTCCCAACCTCCAACCCCTCCTGTGCCTTCTCCTCTCCCTCTCCCTCTCCCTCTGCCTCTGCCCCTGCCTGTGCCTCTGCCTGTGCTTGTGTGCGTCCCTGCACCTGCAACCCTTGCTGCAGCACCACCCTTCTCCCACTCCCACACCACGTATCCGGCAAACTCACCGCGGGACTCGCACCCCCCCTCGCCCCCTCCCACGCCCCTTCCCTCCCCCTCACTCTCTCCCACTCCCCTTCCCTCCCCCTCACCCACTCCCACTCGCCCTCCCTCTCCCTCTCCCTCTCTCCTCCCACCACCCCTCCCCTTGCTCTATCAGCCGAAGCACTCCGAACCACAGATCGACTCACCAAAGCACTGCTAGTAACCACTAAACTATCTGCTCCCCGCACCGCTGCTCCTTGCTGTGTGTGTGCGCGTCGAGCAGAGCTAGGTCTTCGACCCAGCCCGGAAGAATGGGCAGGGGAGGCCGTGGGGATGATGCTGCGGTGGGGAAGGGTTGAGTACGGTGGGTTGAGCCCAGTCAGGGTCTCCCCGGCTGGTTCGGAGTGAGGTGCGGAGGCTGTGCGAGGGATGGTGCGGTCGGGCGGGGTGGAGTGCGGTGGAGCTCGATTCAGAGGTTCGAAAGTGGGAGAGGAGGACAGGGCGGGGGAAGCCGTGGGGATGATGCTTTGGTAAGGGAGAGTGGGGAATGGTGGGTTCGGTGGTGTTAAGGGTTCAAAAGCTGCTTCAGAGGGATTGGTGGGGGAGGTTGTGGGGATTATGCTGCGGTGTGGGCGGGTGGAGTGCGGTGGGGTGGTAGGGGAGCGGGATAGGTTGTTGGGAGGGGAGGAGGAGACACCTGGGATCATTTGAATCACCTCTTGTGGTGGCTGCTGGTGCGGCGGCGGCGGCGGCTGCTGTGACGGCTGCTGCTGCTGCTGCTGCTGCTGCTGGTGGTAGTGGCGTTGCAGCGGGGTGTGTGAGTAGAGGGAGGGGGAGGGCGATCGATGGACAAGGGAGGGTGAAGAATATGGGCGACGGGGAAACGAGGGAGACGCGTTGAAACGCCTCAGCCCCTTACCCCTCCCCACTCCTTGCCCCTGCCCCTGCGCCTGCTCCTGCCCCTCTCCCTGCCCCTGCCCCTGCCTCTGCGCGGACGAGGTGACCTGGGCGGAAGGGGAGCGGTCGAGGGGAGATTCAGGCTGGGGGCAAGGGGCAGCGTCGGGGAAGAGGTGCTGATTGGGGGAGGGGGGATTGATGGCGGGTTGCTGGTGCGGGGAGGAGGAGGAGGGGTGGTTGATGGAGGGGTGAGAGGTGGGAGTGAGGCGAGCGGTGGACGGGGGGAGAGTGGTTGTGGAGAGTTCTCCTGTGGTTGTTTGCAGTTGAGGCTTCTTCTGTTGATGGGCCAGGGGTGGAGATGGGAACGAGTGAGTGAGTGAGGGGCTTGTGTGAGAGAGGGAGCAGACGCACAACACACACACACACACACACACACACACACACACACACACACACACACACACCTGTCCGAACCGCGGCTGTTCCCCGCGCTGCTGGAACTGCTGCGTGTACTTGAACGAGCGCCTGGCCGCCACGACCGCGGCGCCACTGCCTGTGCGCGGCCCCATGGACTGCGATCCGCGCGCCTCCTCATGCCAGCTGAACTGCGGCGGATGGCTGAACGACGCTGGGTCGTCCAACGATGGCGGGGATACTGGCGGGTACCCGTGCTGCTGCTGCTGCTGCTGCTGGTTCTGCTGGTGGTGGTGTTGCTGCTGCTGCTGGTACTGGTGGTAGTGCTGGTAGTGGTGGTCGCTGGGGGGAGTGACGGGTTTTTCCCATTCGTTGAATTCGGGGGTTGTGGAGGGGATGATTGGCTGGTCGGGGAAGGGGGAATGAAAAGGGGGAGGGATGGGTGGGGATGGGCGGGGGCAGGTTTGAGCTCTTTTTTATTAAATAATTTCTTTCCTTTTCACGCAGGAGCAAAGTTGGATGTGTGAAACATTATCCGTTGAAATTCGCAAGCATGTATCGTTTTGCGAAAGGAAGCCCAGACCAAACAGTAATAAACACGAAAACAAAACAAAAAACGAACTCTCATCTCTATCACCAATTCGGCACATCAAATCGCACCACATGACAACCGCGCCCTCACCTCATGGTTGAAACTGGGCAGCTTAGAAACCTTCGCTGCCCGGAGCTTCTTCACCGTGATAGCCTCGCGCCGCCCCCCGCTGCGACTCCCCACGGCACCCACGGTCGTTCCCGTGGAGAGCGACTTGTGGGCGTGCCGCGGACCATCTTCCTCCGCGCCTCCACCTGGCGGAGCTTCCGCGGAAGCCGCCACACCGCCGGGGGGGGGATCTCCCGCCGCCGGATCCGCAACCGGCGATCCTTCCGCGCCAACTGCGGCGACGGAGGCGGCGGCTGCGACGGCGGATTTTATGGCCGCGTCTAAAGCTGCCTTGATCGTTGCGCTCCCATTGGCACAGGCTGGAGATCCTGCTTCGCCTGGCGCTCCTCCGATCTCGCCATCCCCTTCGGCCGATCCGCCGCCCGCGCCGGCCTCCCCATCCCCGCCTGCCCCTGCGCCGATTCCTCCCCCTACAACAGCGTCCATCCGCTGCATGCGCTCCGGTAGGCTCAGCGTGCGCCTGCTTACCCACGCGGGTGCGCGCGTGCCGCCTGCGGCCCGCCGGGCTAACAGCCGCGGTTGCGCGCTGGCTACCAGCGCAACGCCGCCCCCAGGGCTAATGCTGCTTGTAGCGACACCGCCGCCACCGCCGTCGCCGCCGCCGTCGCCACCGCCGTCGCAGCTGCCACCATCGCTGTCCTCTTCTTGCGGCGGCGGAAGAAGGCTCGCTTGCTTCTGCGACTTCGACGGCGACGGCGACTGCGACTGCGACTGCGGCTGCGGCCGCATCTGCGCCCCCAACTGCGACTCTGTCTGCGACCGCTCCTGCACCTGCGTTGCCGACTCGACATGTCGTTGCTGGTTCTGCTGGTGCTGGGGATGGTGCGGATGCGCGGGATGGTACGCGCTCTGCGGGAACGGCGGAAGCGCGGAAGAGGCGGCGGTGCGCGGCCCCGTTGTCGCGCTCGTGCTGCGGCTGCGGGGATAAGCCGGCCGCGCAAAGTGACGCGGCTGCGCTGTCTCTCCTTGCGCTTGCGCTTGCGCTTGCCCTTGTCCCCGCGCCGATACGCGCGCGGTTTCTTGACCGCGCGCAGGTGTCCCACTTGTGTGAGAGCTACATTGAAGCACCGCGGCAGCCATCGCCACACCGTGCGCCCACTCTTGCATGCTCGACATCGCCGCCCCGCTCTCGTGCGACCTTTGCGACGCCTGCCGCGACGCGACGACGGCTGGTGGCGACGATTGCGGTCGCAAATCCACCATCGCAAGGTCGCCTGCATCTCGCCGCTCCGCATTCACCGGTTCAGGTGAGAAGGAAAAGGATTCCTGGGGGCTGCACGGCGCATCTGAGTCGTTAAAGCGACCTTCGCTCGGCTTAACTTTACCCTCTGCTCCTCCTGATTTCCACCGTGTTTGCGGTACGGTGCGCTTCAGGTCCTCCATCTAAAACACTTTCCTTACCAAATGATATCGTATCGTGGCACACGCGATGACTAAAGAAAGAACGACCTTTTCTTCGAGAGCATGTTGCTCTCGAGGCACGGTTGGGACTTTTTGGCTAAGAATAAATTAAATGGTATCGCTGCGACGCTTACGGAAGGTCTCTACCACGTACCGTAAACCAGGAAACAGTCAGGTCTTAAACACACAAGAAAATGCATCGTCACAAGATATTCAGGTTTCCCACAAACGTGTATGGTGCAGCTACTAGACGTTGGTGTCGGCGCAGCGCGCGGAAACTAAATATCTAATATCGAATGGAGAAACTACGTATGCGTCTAGTGAACTGAGGTAGAAACGTAGGGGGGTCACTGGAAGGTACTGTACTGTATGGGTTCCTCTTGCTCCTGCCATGGAACCCAAACGCAATCCACGAAGCAAACGAGCAGGTTTGGTGTGCCTGTAGGCCAAAGCAAGCAACCAAGCAGGAACGAATGGAAGTCGAGAAGAGGAGCAGCAGCAGCAGCAGCAGCAGCAGCAGAGGGCGGAGGGGAAGGGGGGAAGGGGGGAAGAGAAGCAACTCGCGACTGGGGAGAGGCGAACGGAACGCGAGGAAAGACACGGAAGAAGACGACAACGGGAGAGCTCCCATAACCCGTGTAAAAAAAAAACAAAAAAAAACAAAAAAAAACGTCCTGAAAATAGCTCGATATGTACAAGAAACCAGCATGGTTTTAGAGAAATACTCGCTTGTTCTACCACTTTTTCTCCCGAGAAAGGTCGGCTGGAAATACTTTTGGTGTACTGCATCTCATTTGTACCAAGCGGTCCAACTCGAAAAAAACCCGAGGTTGGTTGGGCCACATTTTCAGAACAAACACACCGCCGATGGCCACTGGGAGAGTCCGAACCGAGACGGAGCCACGTCGCGCTTGTGGAATACTGTACACGAACGAAGCCAATCAGCTGTCCAGCTGAGGGACAATCACAAGCGGGAAGGAAGGTGCTGGTTTGGTCGGACTTCACAGAAAGAGGGTCAACAGACTTATTCAGAAAGCAGGTGATACAGGTACATGCACTGCATGTTTGTCAGACGGTGTAGCTGGAAACATGTTAAATTCTAAGCCAATATATTTTCAGGCATTAAAAAAATATCTCCTACGACTCACCAGATACCAACTTCAAAAGCCTTCAAGAATGATTCATTTCAGTATCGGCTTGCATGCGAACCCTTCAGAACTAGCAATATGAAATCATCCTCTACACAACCGTACACTTGAACACACCACAGGCCAAATAGAAGGGGTGACACTGACCCAACCATACATCACGATTGCCACAAAATTGACATCATGTGGAATGGCTTCAAGCCTTGAGGGCAAACTTGCGCTGGGGGAAGTATTTCAGCCTCCTGACCTCCCTCGCTGTCGTGAGCTCAGACTGGCACAATAACGGGGAGATACAGCAAAGAGGAACGCAAGATCGGGATGAATGCGGATGACTAAAGAACAGCAACAAGAGGTTGAACACAGGAACAAGATTACGCAGATATACAGCAGATTACAGATATACAGCAGATACGCAGATGTACAGCAGATAAGAGGTTCATGGTTCGAAGCACGTAATGCTGATGAATTACAACCGTTGGCTCATCATGCAAAACCAGGCATGCCAGATTCCCCTGACATGCTCGGCTCTTTCGCCCTACCCCCCAACCCTTGATCAATCCTTCCCTTGCACGCATGCACGCACCGGGGGCACCGCACACGCGCACACACACAGAGCAGACTAAGCCAAACCAAACCGGTCTACAGACCGGCAGGAAACACCGCTTTCCTGATCATCCAATCACCACAACAATCCTGCCACCTCCACCGCCAGCCAGTCATTCACCGAGTCAGCCAGCCAGCCGGCAAGCCAACCTGCAAACCGTCAAACCCCTCACGCGCGCGCGCGCCGTCATACCTGTCTCTTGGTGAGCCGCTGGCGGATGGCGCGGGTCTTCTTGGGCCTTAGGTCGAGCGGCGCGTACTTCTTCTTGGCGAACGCGGCGCGAAGGTTCGCCTTCTGCGTCTGGTTGATGACCGTCAGCACCTGCGCGATCGACTTGCGCACCACCTTGCTGCGGGGGGGGACGGAGGGGAACGTGGGTAAGGGTAGCGGGAGAGAGGAGGGAAGGCGGGAACGAGAAGGACAGAGTGCGTTAATGAGCGAGAAGTGAAAGGAAGAGGAATAGGTCAAGTACATTAGGGTAACGAAACAAAAAAAAGACAGGACGGACTCCATCTTTAAGAGCTTGCGAGACGTTTAACGTCGTGGAAGTGACATTTATCAAGTCAATCAGGTGCACTCACATCTTGGAGAGCTTGTTGGGCGCGCCACCAGTGACCTTGGACACGCGCAGCGCTGCCAGCTCAGTCTTGAGCTCCTTCAGCTGCGCTCGGGGAGGAAGAGAGGGGCGCGGAGAGAAGCGGGGGGGAAGTGGGGGGGGGGTGGGGGGAAGGGGGAAAAGGCGTGAGGAAAAAACTTGTTCGGCGCGCACGCGGAACGCTGCCAGCTCAGCCTTCAGATCCTTCAGCTGCGCTCGGGGGAACCATGGCGGCGCGGCGCGAAGGAAGAGAGGGGCGGAGACGGAGGGGAGACGGCGAAGAGCGAGGGGTGGAGCGAGAGGAGGGTGCGCAGGGAGGAGAAACTGACACGGATAGACCAGCCCACGAATTCAAATGGTGGAGACACGCGCCGGGGCATGAATCGCGGCAAGAGCATGCGAATCATGCGGTGTCAGATGGGGGCCGAGATCGGGGGAGGCAAAGTGAGCGAACAGGGGGATCAAGGACGGGGCTAAAAATGACTGGAAAAAACCCTTTTATCGAGCTTCAAAGCTTTCGCACGTCGCCTACAATCGTTTCCGTCGCCAAGGCATCGCATTTCTTCGCCTTTTCTGCGCCCTCAGCATCCCCTTCCGTGACGATTCGCGCACTCCTCCGGCCCCAAAACCTTCTCCGCTTCATCGCGCCCTCCGCCCATCCGCAGGCAGCGCCTTGCGCTCCCTTCTCACCCGCCTGTTCCGCCTAACCATCCCTCATTCGAGCTCGCCTCTTCTTCACATGCCACCCTCCTAACGATTAGCTCCATCTCTCCTCCCCTGTCAAAACCCCGACTACTGTAACCTTACCCCACACCCCACCTCACCCGCAGGAAAAACGCCCACGCGAAAGCCCGATCTCCGCCTTCCGCAAGCATTGGCCCAGCAAGAAAGGTCACCTGGTTAAACAGCTCCGAGTTGCTCCTGCCGAGTTGTGAGACGTGTCGGGTTTTAAGACGTGTTTCGAGACGTCTCAAATCTACAGACATGTTATGAGACATCTCCAAACAAGCAAGCATCGGTCCCGCACGAAAGCTTACCTGGTTGAGCAGCTCCGTCTTGCTCTTGCCGCGGAGCTCGTGCACCCGGAGCTTGGCTGCGCGCGGGAGAACGGATCCAACGCGCGCCATGGTTGGGGAGGGAAGGAGCGGGGGAGGGGGGGAAGGGGGGGGGAGGGGACGGGAGAAAGGGGGGGGAATCGGCAAATTTGTAACCCCGGATTCGTATCGACTAGCAAAGAGTTACTCGACATGGCAGACGCAAGGTGAAATTGAATGCGCTATGCAGGTTGGTGGCCGGTCAGGGGACAGATCAGCAACGACAACAGAACCACGAGAACACCCATCGCACCACGACTACGTGCAGACGGCTCGATATGCGGCATGACGCTAAAACAATTCGACTGAACGACTCTAGACACTGCGGGGAGCCATGACGTCGTCACGCCGACGCGAGACTTCACTTGAGAAAAGGTATTCTATAAGCCGCTACAATATGCAACGACAGAATCTAGAATGAAGCCTAGAGAAAGAGAAAAGACGAAAGAAGATGTAACCCGCACGCTCCCATAGCGAATAATGCCTAATGCTGACATGCAGAAACGCAACCCTAAAGGCACTTCTAGCCCAACTCAGCGTTCAGCGACAAGTATCTTTTAGCCCGCTAGCCGAGTCCTGCAGGCGTGTCGCTTTTCACGGTGACTAACGACTACAGCCGATCCGCGTTACAAGCACTCGCGCTACGGGTATAGGGTTCAAAACGCTTCCCGCGACATATTGCATGACACTCGCGCGTTCCGTTCGACTAGACGGGCTATTCCAGACAACAGGCACAGAATAAGTTTAAAGGCGGCGCGTACCCATTAGGATGAATTGATGATGTTACTGTAGCTAAGGCAGGGACTCTCGAAGAGGGTCTAGCACGGGGCCAGAGGGAAGAGCGACAGGGAGAAGAGAAAACTGGCGAAGAGTGAGTGTCGAATATGTAGGGCTGGGAGGTGCTTGGAGGAAGGCGCGGGTGAAGAAGATGGAGGAAAGAGTGGTGCGCGTGCGCGGGGTGGGGGAATGGCAGGGGAGAGGTGGGATGCCAGGGAGGTAGGGGGAAACGGGGAGGGCGGGGAACGAATGGCGGGATTTGCTGGGGAAAACCTCAGAGTCTGGGTCAAATGGGCAGCAAATTAGGTTTTGGGGAACTACTCGTGTCGGGGCGGGGGCGTGGGGAGGAGGGGGGAACATTTGTTCAAAAATCTCGTGTGAGGTGGGAGGGAAGGGCTAAGGCAAGGGAAGAAAAGAGGGCGGAGTATGAATGGGCGGACTACGGTTATGTTGGAATCCTGAGCCTGGCGAATTTGGCGACGACTCGTGAGAGCGAGTAACTCGTTTAACTTCGTCTGGGATAGTGGATATCCACCCAGATCGGAACCTGCAGTTCCACAAAAACGGTCTCGTTTGCGACTATGGGGACAATACAAATGTGGTAGCATATGGTGTAGCAGGAAGGTAATACGAGTGAGATTTCCGTGTGCTGTGCCTTGTCGCTTCAGGGTTCTGTGTTAGGTATCATTTCCTTCCTTCTCTGCAAGCTCCCCAACGCCGATGACTCACGACCCGACTAGGCCTTATAATCCAACGTCATTTTACTTCTCCGCTTTTCAGTGTTCACTAATAACTACACTCAAATTGGTTATTAGCATCTTTGTTCCTCTATCCACTGTAGGTGCAACAAGCTGGTTTGTCTCGCATAATCAATATTTGGATTAATTAGACAGTAATTACGAACGCGTAATACCGTATCAGAATATTGGGCAAACAGAAATGGTATCCAGATTAGAATTGAGCGTCTAAACTCGGTCCATTCATGCAGCCCTTGAGCTCAGCCTCGCAGGCAGCAAGGCAGCACCAAGGTACGGTACGAACAATCGGTAAGAGGAGCCGCGATTCCCCTCATGTACCGCAGAACAGAACGCATGCTAGTAAAAATGGAGACCTACCAATACCAGTGACCATTACCGCCTCACCTACAAGAGAAACTTGCTTCTCCACTCCATGTACACAGCTCCTATCCTAACTCCCAACTTCCCTCCCTCCCTTTACTGCCTCCTTCCCCGTTCATTTCCCTTATGTGACCATCAACCTAGCTTCTCCCGCCCTGGCTCCACTCTCCGCAACGTATCTCCCTGCACTATGGCATGACACCCACGAACACCGTATAGTTGTCATTCTCGGCCCGCCCGCCACCAGTCAGCTTACACTGCTAGTAGCACGGCTGGCACAGTATGTACCTTCCCAGAAACTCTCCTTTCCCACCCTCCTCCCCCCGTCTTGCTGCTGCTAGTAGCACAGCTAGCACAGACTGCACAGCATGCCCCATTCTTCTCCCTCCACTTTCCCTTCCTTCCCCACTTCTTTCCCCTCTCCTTCCCCACTTCCTCCCCCCCTCCCTTCCCAATTCTCCCCCCTCTCCATCCACCATCACTTGGCAAATGGCTGCACAGCCAGCACAGACCGCGCTACACGCCATTTCTTCTCCCCCTCCTCCTCCCCTTCCCCTTCCTTCCCCACTTCTCTTTCCTCCCGTCACCCAACTCTCCCCCTTCTTCATCCACCATCAATTTGCAATCGGCTGCACGGCCAGACGGACCGCGCTACAGATCCCCCTCCTCTCCTCCCCCTCTTTCCCCACCTCCCCCCCCCCTCTCCTTCCACCATCAATTGGCAATCGGTTGCACGGCCAGCACAGACCGCACAGCATGCCCAATGCCACCATCCTCCCCTTCCCTCCCTTCCCTGATTCTCCCCCCTCTCCCTCCCAACTTCTTCCTCCTCCCCATCCACTATCACTTGGCAATCGGCTGCACGGCCAGCACGGACCGCACTGAATGCCTCTTCCTTCTCCCTCCCCTCCCCCCTCCTTCCCCATCTCTTCCTCCCCATCCACTATCACTTGGCAATCGGCTGGACAGCTAGCACGGACCGCACTGAATGCCCCGCACCATCCTCCCACGTCAGGCTTCCAAACGAGAAGCTCCCCGTCGGGTTCACCACCGTAAACCCCACTGTAAAAGTCACCGACTTCCCCACACCAACCGTAAACTGGCTCGGCGAAACCACCACCCGCACATTCTCCGGAGCAACAACCTTGGCTCGGTACGTCGCCGCCGCCGCTCCCACGTTCGTCACCGTCCTCCTCACCACCACCCCCTTTCGCAACCGCGATACCGCGATCGACGGCAAATTCAAATTATACGCCGGAATCGCCTTCACTGGCTTAATCTTCCACCCCTGCACCTCGGTCAGATTCTGCCCGGCCAAAAAATTCAAATAATCGCCCAGCCCGAGGTTGTACGTCAGCCCGGGGTCCGAAACTTTCGGCGGGTTCACATGCCCGGATCCGATCTCAAACGGATTCGCCTTCTCCCCGCTCACAAACCTCCCGATCGGGCCCCCTTTATTATTCACATTGCTCGCCGTAGTCATGATCGCCGACATGACCTGCGCGGGGGACCACTTCGGCCGCTTCTGCACGAGCAGCGCCGCAATCCCCGCCACATGGGGGGCCGCCATGGACGTCCCCATGAGCATGTCATACCCGGGCTTGCTCCCTGCCTTGGTGCTGCTACTGCGAGAGGAGCCCCAGAGGAAGAGGCCTGGGCCGAGGATGTCGGGTTTGAGAATGTCGTTGGTGGGGCCGGGGACGCGGGGGTCTGAGGAGGGGCTCACGACGGGGCCTTGTGCTGAGAAGGGCGCGACGGCTGGCGCGATGCGGTTGAAGAACACGGAAAAGCTGGCGGAATAGGATGCCACGGGCCTGAAGGAATCGGCGGGATGGGGGGTGGGGGGAGGGAAGGGGAGAGGAAGCCAAGGTGAGGGAGTATGAAGCGAGAGGACGTGAGGTGGAGCCCCAGAGGAAGAGGCCTGGGCCGAGGATGTCGGGTTTGAGGATGTCGTTGGTGGGGCCGGGGATGCGGGGGTCTGAGGAGGGGCTCACGACGGGGCCCTGCGCTGAGAAGGGCGCGACTGCGGGCGCGATACGGTTGAAGAAGACTGAGAAGGACGCAGAGTAGGACGCGACGGGCCTGGTGGTGTGGGGGGGGAGGGGTAAGGAGGGATGGGGGAGTGGGGGGAATGGGAGCGATGGTGGGGATGAGGGTGATGGGGGTGAATATGCAAGAGGAAAGTGCTACTCCGTCCTTATAATGTCCCAAGCGTTATCTTCCAATCCACCCCCCACACCCCACACCACCCCCTCCTCCCACCCCCCTCTCCCCACCCCCTTCTTCCCCACTCCCCGTTCCCCTTCCTCCCGCATGCTCACTTGGTCGTCGCGCGCATGTACTTGCGCAGCTTGTCCGCCTCTTTCACCGCGAGGTGCAGGATGGGGATGCGCGCGTCGTAGATATCCAGCGTCACGTCCCCCCCGCCCGCCTCGTTCACCAGCACCATCGCCTTCGCGCCCGCGCCCGCCGCCGTGTCCGCCTGCGTGCCGAACGACGCCTGCCCCGCCGTGCACACCAGAATCTTCCCGCTCGCCTTGGCGGAGTCGATCGTACCCGGAAGGCATAGCTTCGCCTGGACGAGGGGCGCAAAAAGGGAGGCGGTGGGAAGCCGGGGGGGCGGCGGGTTAGTAACGAACGACGCCTGCCTGCCCCCCGCCGTGCACACCAGGATCTTCCCGCTCGCCTTGGCCGAGTCGATCGTGCCGGGGAGGCACAGCTTCGCCTGGAGGTATGGAGAAAGGGAGGCCGTGGTGGGGAATGGCGCCTAGCTGTCCCCGCCGTGCACACCAGGATCTTCCCGCTCGCCTTGGCGGAATCGACGTACCGGGGAGGCATAGCTTCGCCTGGGAGAGGTGCGGGGAGGGCGGGGAGCATGGGTTAGTAAGAGACGCGTGTCAGCCACCCGCCGCGCACACGAGGTCGCATCTTTCCGCATAAACACAAACGCGCACACACGCACATTCACGCACAAACACCCGTACTACTTACGTCGGTCGCCGTGTTGCCGTACGCCACGGCGTTCTGCGCGAACAGCAGCGGCAGCCCGCGCACCTTGCGCGTGCCCGTGCCGAACCCCGCGCCCCACAGGTTCACGCCCGTGCCGAGCCGCAGCTTCGACGTGTAGTGGCGGTCCGTGGAGCTGACGCAGGGGGTGGGGAAGAGGGAGCGGGGGGCGGGGACAAAGGGTGTAGAACAGAGTGAGAGGTGAAGGGGAGAAGACAGTGTCGCTGGGTGAGGGCAGGGCAGGGTGGGCAGGGTGGGGCGCGGGGGGGGGGGGGAACCTCACCTGGCGCCGACGGTGAGGTAGAAGGGCGAGAAGTGCATGATGGTGCGGTATATCGACTGCGTCAGTGGCGGCGGGCCGTTGTTGCCGCCCGCGCACACCACCACGATGCCCGCCTGCCGCGCGCGCGCGGGGAGAGCGCGATGCGCGGAAGGGAGGAGGGGAAACGGAGGACGGGGGAGGGGGGAAAATGTGCCAGTTAGCTCGAAACGTGCCGGGAAGCGGAACAGGGGCGGCATATACTGATAGATTAACTCCGCGTACTGATAGAAGCACACTCATCATCGGTTATCATCGCGAACCTGATTGGCGTAGAGGAAATTAGTGTCGTCGAAGTACCCCGCGTACGGATTAACTCCGCCTAGCGACATGCTGATCACATCCACGCCGTCCGCCACCGCCGCGTCGATCGCGGCGTCGATATCCACGCTAGAAGCCGAGCCGCTCATGTCCCCCTTCGCCTTCCAAAACACCTTGTACACCGAGAGCCGTGCGCGCGGCGCCATCCCGCTCGTCGCGCCGATCGCCTGCCGCCGGTTGTTCACGGCTTTAACTCCCGAGTTCCCCGCCGCGGCGCTCGCGCACCACGAGCCGTGACCGACGGAATCTCTAGGCGACAGGTAGTCCAGCGTTCCGTCGATCGCGCCGCGGTAGCGCACGAACCCGCCGTTGAACGCGCGCGCTCCGATGACCTTGTTGTTGCAGCGCGGGAAGTCCGGTGCGGTCTGGCACTTGCCGACCCACTTGGTCGGCGCGGAGTACGCCGAGGAGCCCTGCGCACGGGGGAAGGACAGAAAGCGAGGGGGAAGGGGGTGCGGGGATGGAACGATGGCGAGATGAGGTGAAAGGACGAGTGAATGTATGTTGCGCATTGGGATATTCGCCTAAAGTGGTTACCTTCCTGCTGACTCAATGTACTTTTGAGGACACTCTTAAAAGCGGCACCCGACGGGTGACATTTCCCGTTTGTGTTACTTACTAGTTAGGTGCCTTTCCCGGAGCGACACAAACACCTGACACCCAGTATCGAGTCCCACCATTTCCCCTTCTCCTCCCCCTCTCCTTCCCATCCCTTGCAACCTCCCCCAGCACTCACATTCCCGCTCGCGCCGTCCGCGAACGACGGGTGCTCGATCCAGATGCCGCTATCAATCACGCCGATCACCACGCCGCGCCCCGCGCTCTTCTCGCCGCCGTTCGCGCGCCACAGCGACGTGGGCAGCTTCAAGAAGCTCGGAGAGTGCGTCGTCAGCGGGGTGACTTCGAACGCGGGTGTCACGCGCTCCACCGCGGGGTGCTTCCGCAGCTGCTCCGCCTCCGCGGCCGTCAGCATCGCCGCAAAGCCGTTGCTCGCGAAGGTGAATCTGGGAGGAAGAGGTGGGGGTGGGGGGGGGGGTGGGGGGGGAAAGAAGCGGGCGGGGGTAAGTGGGAGTTCTATATGGATGGTAAAAAGGACGGGGGGACGGGCGTAGGGGAGAAGAGGGAGGAGGGGAGATACCGAGCGATGAGGCACAGGGAGGAGAAGGGACTTGCGCGACCCTCTCTGCCCCCTCTCTGCCCTTTGCCCGCCTGCCCAGTCTCCTTCCACCTCGACCACCTTGCATTCCGCCGCGTCACGCGTCTCCCTTCCCCACAACCACCCCCCTTCATCTCCTCATCCCCTGCCCTCCCCGCCCCTCGCCTCCCCACCCTCCCCCTGCCCTCACCTCCCCTTCCCTGCGCTGCCCAGGGCGCTTCCCTCCTACTTTCTCCGTGCCCTGTCGTGCCCAGGTCCCCTCTTGTACACGATATTCTCGGGATCCACGCCCTCGTCCGTCGCGATCTGCCCAGAGCCATGCCCAACGTCTCCCCGAACATCCCTCTCCCCACCCCACCCCCTCCCTGCGCGCCCCAGGGCGGCTTCCCTCTCCCGTCTTCTTACTTGTACACGATATTCTCGGGATCCACGCCCACGTCCGTCGCGATCTGCCCCTGCTGCCACTGCAGGTAGCTCGAGAACTGCCGCACGTGCGCCGATGCCATGTTCACCTTCGGCGGGCGCTGCATCCGCACCTGCGCCGCTTCCGCTTGCGCCTCCGCCTCCGCCGATCCGCTTCCGCTTGCGCCTTCGCCGGTCACGCTGGCGCTGCTCAGCGCCGCCGCTTCCGCCGTTTCCGCCATGGCGGAGGACGGCGCGGAGAGAGTCGTCGAGAGCATGTTGTATTCGTTGCCGTAAAACCCGGGAGCCGTCGCTGCGTAGCCGCTGATGCCGCCGCGGTACGCGAGCACGGGCGGCGCCGAACGCAGGCGGACGTTGTACAGCGACGCGGAAGAGTCGCGCGACTCGGACGACTTGGAAGACTTGGAGGCGCATTCGGCGAGTTTCCCGGCGCCCGCCGCAAGAAGGACGGCAGTCAGCACAAGGGAATTGAGCACATGAGCATTCTGTCGCAATGAAGCTGGGCGGATTAGGACGGGTCTCCGGCAGAAGCGCGTTTCACGGCGAAGAGCAGCCATGGCTGGTGCTGCCCGTGCTGCTGCTGCCTTGCTACCTCACTCTCTCGCTCTCTCTCACACACACAGATGCGCGCGGGAGAAAGGGGATAGCGTGGCGTGGGGGAAAGAGGGAAAGAGGCGACCTGGACTTCCCTTTGGGCTCCTCGACAATCTACTGGCAGTGATTCATCTGGCCAGACGCGCTGTGCGAAAGGTTGCGAAAACGGTAACAATTCTCAGCGGTTCGCCGCCCTCGGGCGTTCATCTTGGTGGGAGCAGTGAGGAGGGTCAGCTGGATCTTATAACGCCACGACCACCACTGGTACTTAGACTACTCAGAGACAATGAACGGACTGGTGGCTGTAACGGATCCCCCACGCCAGTAAAAATTTGCCTCGTAATTGCGGACAGGAATTCGGAATAGCGGGAGCAATAGTGAGGTAAACTATGATAACGGCACGGTGTAGGGATGCTTGGATTGGATCAGGTGAGCTAGACCGTGATGGGCCGATTTGGGAAGGGGCTGTCTGCTAGTTACGCATAGCGGGGGGAGTGAGAACCGCGCAAGTTACGAGTAAGAGAGAGGCGGAGACGGAGAGAGATAGTTGGGTAAGGTGCGGCGAGCGCACTCACGAAAAAGCGTGGTAGTGGATGAACTGTAAGGTATGTACGGCATTAACGGAGGGGGCTGTGGGGTTTGCTCGACGAGGAGGAGGAGAAAGGAACGGGAAGCGGGTGCGAGCGAAGGGGAGGGAGGTTTAATTGACCAGTCCGACTCGAGAACTCCTCACTGGCTTGACCGACACGAGGGGATGGAAAGGGGCAGGCAGCGGTCTCGAGACAAGAAGAGAACGGGTTTCAAGCATGCGGCCCGTGGTGTGCAAAGGATGGAGTTTCAGGGAGGTTACACTGAGGAAATGGAACAAGGGCGTACAACGGTGATGGTGATGGTGGGAGGACTATTTCGAGGAGCTGCTGGTGTGGTGTGGTTTGGTGTGGTTTGGTGCGTTGGAGGCTGTGTCGGCCGGCTGGTGGATCAGCCACGCCGCCAGTTGGAGGCTGTGTTGTGGGGCGGAAAGAGGAAGTGGCTCTGGTGAATAGGAAAATTTGTGAGTGGAAGGGTAGATCGCAGCAACGAGGCGGACAAACGCAGAGCAGAGGGGCAATACTTGCAGTCTTGTGCGAAGCGAAACGGGAACGAGAGACATGGTTGTTGAGTGATGGAAGGAAAGCAAAGCACGCTCTGGAAGGGAGAACGCCCGTCTGCCCTGTCCTCCTGTCTGCCTGCCTGCTGCTCCTACTGGTGAATGCTCGAAATGGGCTCGCGGCTCGGAGAACGCGCCTCGATCCCAGATGGCCGGGGCTCGGACGGAAATCCGATGCAAATTCAATTTCGGTCAGCCCAGCCCAGAGACTCTCCGTCTGGCACCAAAACAGATTGCTCTGACAAGCTTGGGGTGGGTCGGTGGCGCCAGCATGAAATGTGTGATTGGTGTATCGTGTCGTGCCCGACGCGAAGTCTGAAAGAGCCCGCGGTGCGCCAGAGAGGATTCCCCTGGTGAACGCCATCCCCGGTACACGCATTCTCAAGCCAACATAATAAAATATAACGCTGCTACACACAGCTCCTCGTTCACGCATTTCCAGCTGCTAAGCTGATTGATACTGTTATGATTTGTACTAAACAGAGTGCGCCGAAGACTTTATAAAAAGGATGAATTACAGAATGACGATTGAATGAGTAAAGCAAGCATTTATAGGGCGAATACGTGCTAGGCGAGAACCTCGTGACGTGCGAGGGTTGGATGTTGTTACGAATAGTGATTATCGAAACACTATTGTACACTCCTCACCGCAGCAATCGAAGCATGCACTACCGAGAATGAAGACGAATGGGCAGAAGTGACACGAAGAGTCACACGGTTACGAAAGGATCTGGACCGACGGGCAGACAGCATCAGGCAGCAGCAGTGGCGAGGATTCTGCCCGGACAGTTTCGTAACTGTCTGGAGTCGCACGGTTTGATTTCGCTGCAATAAGGGAATGTACCCCTTAGAGTACATGGCTAGCTAGGTCGATTGGTATTCCCTTGTAATCTTATTTATATTCCTTGTACTGCATGTTTTTATTATCTCAAGCATTTACATTCACTCTGCTAATGAGGTCAAGGGCCCACCACCACTAGATTAGCACTGTGCGAACCTTCCTGAGGTGATCCTGAGGGTGATCAACTTCTGATCGCAACATGGTATGAGAGCGACTCAGGAATCCTTCGCACCGCCACCACCGAAATATTCGGCGAACGGAAAGTGGCGTCCGGCACACGCTCACGTGTGAGAATGGCCGGAGGATCTGGAGGTCAGACGAATCTGACGGCTGAAGCGCAGATTAATCCAGCTGCGAAAAACGAGGACATGACGACAATCCCCTCCGTCGTCCTCGCACAAATGCTTCAGCGACTCACGAGCCTGGAGCAAGGGCTCCAAACATTGCGGAATGGCGATGCGGGAACATCTTCCCAACCCACTCAACCGGCCTCGAATGGCCAGAACTCCGCCCCGCAAGGCTTCTCTCTTGACACAAACGGCTCAACACCCAAGACTCCCTGTCCCAGCGATGAAGCAATTCTATCTGCGCAATCAAGGTTTTTGAGCATATCAAAAATAAAGACAAGTGTGTGTTTTGACGGCAGATACTTCTATACCTGGAGCTTCGAGCTGGAACTGCTGCTGCAAAACGCGCAGATTTTTCACTACTTTGACGGGAGCTACTTGGGACCCACGGAGGAAACTGACGACGCAAAAATCAAGTACTACAACGAGTCCCTGATGGCGTACGGGGTTCTTCTTCGAAATATGTCGCCGACGGAGCAATTGAGCATTCGCTCATACAAAACCTCGCCTGCTCCAACCCTCAACGCCTGGCGCCACCTGAATGGTGTGTATCAACCGAAGGACTCGGTGTCGTCGAGCCGTCTACTCCAGCAGCTACTAGAGACCAAAATGTCACCAGGAGAGAAGGCCAACAGTTACCTGAATCGCTGTCGGAGCCTACGCGATCAAATCGCGAAACTGGGGAGCACGATTTCTGAGGAAATCTTCGTAAATATCGTGCTCCAAGGGCTCGGCCCCGGGTGGCGGCCCTGCAAGGCGCTTCTCCGACATCAGGGGGTCATCTCGGAGGCCGCCCTTTGCGCCGCCCTCCTCGTCGAACAACGGGATATGGATCAGCAGCGACCAGCACCGCGACGAGACAGGGAACGCCTCGCCTTCTACACTGACAACACGGAAGAGCGACGGCCGCGGCGCCTCTACTGCAAAATCTGCAGGAATTTCAGGCACCTGGCGGACCGATGCAAGCATCGATCTCGCCCTCGTCAGACCAATCCGAGCACCTGGTCCGGCCGACAAGACGCGAGGAACGACACGCGTCCCGCCCAGGGGTACCAACCCCCATCGCGTAACCTGAACCCGACAGTTCAGCAGCAGCAGCAGCCATCACAGGCTGCCCCCGTCCGCAATGTCATGGGGAATATGACCATGACGAGCGGCTCTCGTCGCCCGCGCGCACGCTCACTATCACCCGAGCTGGCGCCTGACCCAATCGGAGCGTCCTCGAACAACAACCCGTTCAGCACGCATCACGACTTCAGCGACGATAACAAACAGGACTGGAATCTCCCAGTCCCGCTGCTTGAGAGCCCCCCGCACGCACCAGATACGCGGTCGGCACCGATCGATTGGATCGCACGCGAACAGTTTTTAAAGGTCGACACTCCACATATCGTCACTCCGCGACTGGCGCTGCTCGCGCGAAACGATGACAGGCGCTACAACACGTGGTACCTGGACAGCTGCTGTGGGCAGCATATGGTGGGCTCTGAGCGTTACATATCCAACGCCGTCGCCACCCCTGCCGTCACTTACGTCACTGTGGCGAACAACACGCGGCTGCGCGCAAGCGCGCAAGGCATTGTTGTGCTCAAGGCACATGGGAGCAGAATGCACATCACCTTGAATGACGTGTTGATTGTGCAGAACCTGCGTTTCAACCTGCTCTCGGCGGCACAACTCCTAGATTGCGGAGTCATTCTCAGCACCGACCCCGAGACGCGCGACATTCTGCTCCACTTCACAATGCCGAACAAGATGCGCAAGCAGATCGGACGGGCGCACGCCGAGAACGGAGTATACGTTCTCGACTTCGACATTCCCGACTGCAGCGGCGATTCGCAGGAGCTGATTGACCTCGTTCCCCTGCGCTTCGAACATATCCATCGCCGCGACTGGAAGCACCCTGATGGGCGCCCTTGGGTGCCTTATCACCCACATCCGCGCGAGCTGGCGCTACATGACCCTGATCCTGATGGCATCTGCAGGGACTGCCACACACCCACATCCTCATCAAGCGCGATCGCCGGGTGCGGCCTTGCCGCCATCATCGAAGCAGAACGCGACGCACCGCCTGAGGAGGGCCTGTCGCAACTGGAGCTGGAAACAGCCACACGGGTCGTCTTCGACACACCGGAAAATCCTCTCCCCGGGCCCGCATCCCAGCACCTCCAAGGGATG